TAAACGCCGTCCACTGCCATCTCGAGACGGCGAGGTCGGCTCTGCTCTTTCTGAAGGAGACACAGGTATCCTCTCCGGCTGATGTCTCGTATCTCTCTTGCCCGGGGTACAAACTGGAACACTCCTTTGGGCCTCGGGCTGGAGTTTGCGTTTACGACAGAGAGGACATCTGTTCTTGACGCCTCGGCAGTCTTGAAGGTTCGAACCGGTCCATCATTTGGCTACGCGTAAACAGCGACGACCATCCGCGAGTCTACGGATGCCTCTATAGGTCCCATAGCGGTAATACCGAAACAGACCGACTCTTCGACCACGTCCAAATGACTACAGATTCGTTGCTACAGCAGATCCCCTCCGCATAGATCGTGATCCTCGGCGATTTTAACGCCCATCACGCCGAATAACTTGGTTCACGTTTAACCGATCATGAGGGGAGATCTGTTTGTGATTTTGCCTTGGCATATGGTCTGACACAACTGGTTGCTTCGCCTACGCGGATTCCAGATGTGGAGGATCATGCACCTTCCCTGTTGGACCGTCTGCTGACTTCTCACCCAGACGGATATCAGATATCCGTCGACGCCCCTTTAGGCTCCTCGGACCATTGTCTTGTCCGGAGTGTGGTGCCACTCACACTAAAATCGCAGTTGCATTCTGCAGGCTGCCGCCGTGTTTGGCACTATAGGTCAGCCGATTGAGATAGGTTGAGGTCTTTCTTTGCATCCTACCCTTGGGGGCGGGTTTGATTCTCGCCGGATGATCCCAACGTTACGATGTGGTACTTCAGGATATGGAACTTTTTATTACTTTCTCTGTGGTGCCCATCAGAGGCAAATCTCAGCCATGGTTTGGTCGCTCCTGTGAAATAGCATCATGCTATAAGCAGGAGTGCTACCAAGCTTGGGCTGACGCATTAACGTCCCGAGATGTAAACACCAGTGTCCTAAAAAAGAAGTATTATTCCGCTTCCAGGTCCTTCAAAAGAGTCATTGCCAAGGCAAAGTCAGAGCACATAGGCAGAATTGGCGAGAAACTAGTTCGACTTCTTTCTGGAACCCGTGCATTCTGCTTTCTCGCCAAGGCTGTCCAGGGAAATTTCTGTCAGCCATCTCTTCCATCTCTGCACAGGGAGGACGACTCACTGGCCAATACCGCAAAGGAGAAAGCAGATCTGCTAGGCTCTTTCTTTGCGTTCAACTTAACTCTCGATGACGGGGGGAGTACGCCGCCGACCATCCCGCGGTGTTAGTGCTCCATGCCGGAAGTGCAGTTCACACAGCGCTCGGTTCGCAAAGCACTCCTTTCCTTGGACATCCACAAGTCGAGTGAGCCTGACGGAATCCCCCCAATTATGCTGAGGATGTGTGCTCCAGAGTTGGCACCGGTTTTAACGCGTCTTTTCCGGTACTCCTACTCCCTAGGCGTAGTCCCAAAACCATGGAAGACGGCTTTCGTCCACCGGATCCCTAAAAAAGGCGACCGCTCAGACTCGTCCAACTACAGGCCTATCGCCATCACCTCCTTGTTCTACAAAACAATGGTGTCCATTGCAAACTGCCAGCTCATGAGGTACCTTGATGATCACCAGCTGATCGCCAATACGGTTTTCGTCGCGGTCGATCAGCTGGTGATCTTCTGGTCTCATGATCATGATCATTGGCCGTTATTTAGACATTGCGAAAGCCTTCAATCGGGTTTGGCACAAAGCGCTTCTTTCGAAGCTCCCTTACTATGAGCTTCCCGAGAAATTGTGCAATTGGATCACCAGCTTTCTTGCAGATCGGAGCATCAAGGTCATTGTAGACGGTGCAAGCTCCGATTACAAGCCTATTAATGCTGGTGTTCCACAAGGCTGCGTGCTATCGCCAACGCTGTTCTTCTGCATATCAATGATATGTTGCAAACCCGTAACATTCATTGCTATGCAGATGACAGTACTGGTGATGCTCTGTACATCAGCCAATATTTCTCGGGAAAACGTCTCCGAATACCGCGACTAACTTGTGTCTGAAGTCGAGTCTTTGCTGAACAACTGTCCCGGGGGCGACTAAATCTAGTCCAGTTTAACCCTCAGAAGACACAAGTTTGCGCGTTAACCGCTAAAAAGAACCCCTTTGTCGTATCTCCTCAGTTTCAAGGCACTTACCTTGTTGCCTCAGCCAGTATCGGAATCCTCGGCGTCGACATATCAAGTGACGTGCAGTGTCGTGGTCACTTGTAAGAAAAAGCCAAATTGGCCTCTAAAAAACTTGACGTGCCCAGCAGAACGGAACAGTATTTCATGCCGGCACACCGCCTGCAACTTTACAAGGCGCAGGTTCGGCCGCACATGGAATACTGTCCCCATCTCTGGGCTGGGGCTCCCCTATACCAGCTCCTTCCACTTGACTGCATCCGGCGCAGAGCGGCTCTGAATCGGGTTTAGCCACGCCAATCCTCATATAAAGTTGACAGCCATTCTATTGTGTATTATAATATTCTATGGGCAACAGTGTCTTCCGGTAACGGTAACAGCAGGAGCAAGCGCCACCGTGAGTGAAATTTGGTCTGAAGGACAACCCAGTAAATAACATCTATATAATGTAACCAAAGTATACAAAACAACAGGCATTACGACTTTGTTATATTTTATAACATTGGCAATAAAGTACTTAAAATTTTATAACAAAATAGAAAACAATATATTTTAACACTATCTCTTGAATATTGCCAACAACACATCCTTTTAGACTAGACATTGATGCTTTCTGATTATTTATTATTTAATAACAAGCTTTAATAGGCGTTTCTGAGGCCAGTGTCCGGGTTCATCATCAGATCTAGTGTATATTATTGCATTCTTATCTAAGTTACTTAAGTGTGCAAAATTACAGATGTTAGCTAGTGCTTCAAAAATTGATTATAAATTTTAAACTAGAAAGACATTCGAAGAAACAAAACAATATAAATGTATGATACAACAGAACCCATTTTTATTGTATTTAATCTTTATTTAATTTTGTGCAAACTTGCTACAAAAACGATAATTTACCATTGTGTTAATTTTAAATAAGGCCTGTCTAACGCAAGAATATTTTCACTCATGACTCACCGCTCCTAGTCACTTATGATTATAAGCATGCTAGATGCACGCTCCTAGGCTCGCCAATCACATGATTATAAGCATGCGATGTGCTCCCTCCTAGCCACGCTTCGATCAACAATACCAACTAGATAACGGGTCACGTACAAATTCATAGCTAAATACTGTCCGCGTGAATATATACTTAAACAGCTACAATTGTTTACTAAAGAAAAGAGACAAAAAATTTAAATAGTTTTAAGTTCAATCTAATTACAACCATCGCATCTAGTAATAAAGTCACAAATCTTAAGATCATTTGTCACAAAAAAGAACAAAGCTATACAATACTCCTATCCCTTAGAAATGAGAAGACATAAATTAAATAACATTTAGTGTGTCATCAACCTTAAGGTGTAAAAAATAAAGTACTTTTTCTCGTTATTGCCTTGTGAGCTACGTCATTTTGTTATGTTTCTGTTTTCTACTTCGAATTTGGTACAGGAAGTATTGAGTCGCATTGAACACTAAAATAATTTATAATATGATCATAAGTTTAATTAAAATTATTTTTATGTTTTGGGCATTTATGATTGTTGGTATACATACTTTTCACACTAGCAATTAAATATAATATAGTATGTAGTATATACCGGGGGAGAAAGCTAGGAAAGCTAAAATAAAAAAGCTAAGTATCTATTGAAATTACACAAACAAAGACAAAAGTAGCAATTACCATTATTTAAAGTTTTGATAACGAATGATTAAAAATTATTACAATACAAATCTACTTCATGCGTCTATGTTCTGTTACACAAATGTTTGCGCGTGTATTGGTCAACATTGGAAAAACATTTGTAAGGGTGGTTATGATCGGTAATTTTGGTTTCAAATATGATTTGTTAATTTAGAGCTTAAAATATAACACATTATTCATGTAATTACCGAAAGTAAGACACGCCGGCCGTTAAATTACTTTTTCAACTTTTGCAACTTTTAAATACATATTGCGGCTAAAACGTGTTTACATTGGCTGTTTCAAGTGAACTAAACGAAATAAGAGCTCACGTCTCATGTGCGCTCTTATTTACTGAGACGGATTTCTTGCGGCGACCCGAAATCTAGTTGGTATTGTTGATCGAAGTAGCCTCGCCACTCTCATGATCATAAGCATGCTAGATACACATTCGTAGCTATGCTACTCTAATGATTATAAGCGTGCTAAACGCACATTTCTAGCCACGCCATTCTCATGATTATAAGCATGCTACGTACACGACGTTACAAATTATTTTATTAAAATGAAAATGTCTGCTAGTTATATAAATAACAATAAATGATTTTAAAAGCTTCACTAGATAGAATATCTGGTTTTATTTGGTCGTGTATACAAAAATTAATTTTTTCGTGTATACAAAACTAATTAGAATGTTTGTTAGAATCAACTAAAACTGAATAAATGATTGACGTCGAAGTCGCATAGGTAGTAAATATTCCAGTGAGAGAAAGGCCTCAAACTAAACATCCTGCTCACGCCATGTTTGTTAAGTTATTAACTTTCCAGTGGGAAGTTATTGTAATGGTTCCAATTTTGCAAGTTGGAAATTTTAACATATCTCCACGTTTCTAGGTCTTTAGAGTCGAATAGTATGGTTTTTAAGAGGATGTCCGTGTGTGCACATGTACGTATGTATGTATGTTCAGATTAAATTTTCGCCTCGTGTATCTCGAGGACAAAGAGTGATATTGATATAGGACCAGTTTCATTTAACGCATAATTATGTAACTTAGACCTCATTAAATTTTGAGCAAAATCGGTCATGTTGTTTTTTGTGCCTAATGAAAAATTGTATAAAATATTAAAAGATATGATATTTTTTTATTCTTTCCACTAGGAAGTTAGTCGGGTGGACCTTTCGGGTCGCACTTAGACCGCTTTTTACATTTGATATTGTAGTGATTCATAATATGCAAGCTCTCCTTCAGTCACGGATGGACGGAAAGATTCAACTCCTTGCCACAACTCCGAGACGCCAAGTACCACGGAGTCAGGGCTCAGATCACTTTCTTTAAGTGAACCTGAAAAATTGAAATATTTTATTTAGTTTCCATTAGACTATAAAAGTCCACAGCTAGACATAGGCCTCCTCCAAAAATTTCCTCTTAAAGAGGATTTTGAGTTTATCATGACATTTAATTTATCACCAAAATGCCAGAAAGATTCTATCACCTTCCATAAATTGCAGTTTTACGGGATCGTTTATGCTCGATGGGAAATACCTAGACCGACGACGGAGAGCAGCGGTGATACATTTGCTATTGCGACCATAAAGGATCATTTTCAGCGTGCTGTATGTGAGTGAACTGCACCCAATGTATGTTATATTGTAATGATGAATAAAGCATTTCGTTGTGTATTTATTAAAATAATATTATTTAAATGCAGTTACTTTGTCATACGCGGTAGAGCCACGTTGCATCTATATTATGGTGGTAGCACGAATGGGTCGGCTCGACCGGGGAAGCACCACGCTCTCATAGAATACCAGCGCAAAATAGCTGCTTAATAAGTTCATACTACTGTGTTTTCTATTGTGAGTGTAGAGATCCGGAGACCCTTTTTTACTGGAAACAAGGCATTCCATTTTAGCCCTCAGGGGTGACAGACAACCCATATGCGTGTTTTGACACTTCCACCATCTGACCATCACATGGACTGTGTGCTCGTTTGTCACCCATATTGTATAAAAAAGGTGGTAAAAATGTGTAACGGTCGTTTACGTACCGTTTGTAGAAACTTGTACAAATGTTATTAGCTTACTTATAAACAATTAAACTATAACTTATATACAATTAAAATATAAACAATTAAAGCATTTTAATGCAGTATCAGTCTTCCCACCACCATTCATTCATTTATCAATTTAATGTGTGGTATTCACATAAATATAAGAAAATATTATAGTAACTGTTGGCAATCTCTAACTTAGGTAATAATCTAACCCGTAAAACTCCCGTTGCCACACAGTGTGAAATTGAACATTTTAGAATAATATATTCAGCTAATAAGAATAAAAAAAATTTACCTAATAAGATTTTGTTGTTAGAGTGGCGTAAAGTTCCTTTGATCGAAATATTAAATCTTAGCATACGATTAGATCAGAATAATTCGTATGAATAAAATGGATTGTTTCATTCTTTCACAATATTTTTTTAATATGGTTTAGTGATGAGCACGGAGCCTCACACTGGTGATTATATTAAATAATAGTATGTGGGTTTTTGGTATGGGAAATCTGTATATATTTTCCGTTATTAGTCGGTCTACAGATTCTAGTGACTTACTTCCATTTCTGACGGTGACTCCTGAATTCAAGAAAGTTATTTAAGAAGTAAGGATGACATACGATACCATAGTCCATTTAGTGGGAAGTGGATGTAGTGATCCATGATAAAGAATCAAAATATAGATACACTAACCCATCTTTAAGAACTAAAATACCGGTATAAAATGATCTCAGTTTCTCGATTCCATAGAGTCAGTAATTCATTATTGGGAAAATGTACACACTATGACAAAAAGGTCTCTGAAACTATACAATGTCTCTCTATTAACTAGTTAAAATGTATTAGTAAACAAAACTGTATAAAAAGGTTTATTATAATATAAATGAATATGTGGTTGATAATAACCCCCGGGAATGATTTTATAAAACATTCTGACATTTCTAAAATAAATTTTGTAAATAGTTCGAACAACCTTTCATATTGTATAATTTATTTAAAAAAAGTTTCGCTGGGTTTCTTGTTGGTTCTTCCCAGGACAGAAGTTTTTTCCGTACCAGTGGTAAAGTAAAAAAAAAAAAAAAACTTTCAATAAGAATTACATGTAATCTATATTGAATAAAAATTATTCTATTCTCCGGTTCTTGTCACTCAGAATTCTTATTCTCTCAATACTATACTCAGCAGCATTATGTGTAAGCATGGCCCTTTCATAAATTTGGTTTACTTGTGCTACAGTGTGACTTTAACAGTTAGAAACTTTGTTTTAATGTCTTGTACTAGTAACATAAATTCTCCTAACAATAATTTCTAGTTAGTTATTGCGTGTTCACGGACGTCACACGTCCTCGAAATATTTTTATTTCTCAAATCTCTGAAGGTTGCTAAATTTCCAGTTAAAATCAACAATTTCAGTGTTCAAACTCGATTTGCTCGTTACGGCGTTCGCTTAGCTACTGAGCTACCAGGGATTCTCCGAAATAGATACGAACCGCTTTTAATTTTGTCCACCAGGCCACGAACCGCAGCTGAGCGTGCAGTGGACACAACTTGCATGAGGTCGGCGCCCGTACAACGCTCAGGCAAGGCTTCGGCCACATTCATCAAATTTACTTCCGGCCTTAATTTGTAACTGCAAAAAAATAAATAAAAAAATAAAGGCATTCTTTCCCTTTTAAATAACTTTACCCTACACTAGGACTAAGAACTTTTATCCTGAAAGCGTTTTACTTATATAAAAATATCTAGATTATACAAACTTCTAGAATCGGAAAAATTATTAGTATACCATACAAACACTCAATCCATTCAATTTCATTAAAAAAATACAAAAACATTATATCCAATTAAGAACTACTTTTTGTATTAACTTACAAGTTCAGGTTTAAACTAGACTTCTAGAGTTCAGTCATATATTTAATGAAATAAATTGATTTAAGCAAGAATTGATATACTCATATATAATATCCATTGCCCCATATCACCCCATGGGTTTCGTAAGAGGTGGAAACTGCAGACAGAGGGAAACTGAAATAAGACATGGGTTGCATCTATTTTTTTATAGTAGAGGGGGCAAAAGAGCATACGTCTCACATGATCGTAAGTGACTACGGTCGCCCATGGACTACTGCAAACTAGGGGAATTGCAGGTGCGTTGCCGGCCTTTTAGAAAGGCGTAATTTTAATAATAATCTTTTTTGATAACAACTCAAAATGTAGATCAATAAATAACTAAAAATAATAAAAAAATGATAAAAATACAAGTACAAACACAGTTCACAAATATCTGAGTGGGGACCAATGATTTCAAAAGGAATGATAGGCCCATCTAAATATTTTACTCATAACTTTTTCATACAAGAAAAAGTAGCGCATCTGTCATAATACAAACGTCATATCATAACACGACGTAACCAGGGTCGGACTTCGTAGTATAATCATCCTAATTGCACCATTATTTCACAGTTTGCGGTATATAATATCATAATAATACTAAGCGAAAATACCATAATTTTACCTAAAGGTCGACTTTTACCAGACGCAGAAAGTTCGAGTGTGGGGGCTTCTAGAAAGCTTAATTCTTCTGTTCGATACTAGATGGCGCTGTTGGTCGAAAGTCAAGATTGACATTTTCTAGGAAGCCCTCCTCGCTCTCGTCCCCGACACTAGATGGCGCTAATGCCGGGTACATGACGTCAACTTAGGCGCGCAACATTATTATTGGGTCCTTTTACTTTTTAATATTAACCCTACGATATCTATATCGTAGGGTTAATATTAAAAAGTAAAAATAAAAACTAACTGTAAAATAAAACTTTAAAAATGCGTTTATATAATAATTTAATTGTAATAAAATTAATATAAAGTTATTAACCTATGATACGATATCCCATGTTCCTTTTTAATTTTCGTATCGTAATTTTTGCATCCTTTTACCATGCAACTAGACATATTTATGACAGGCAAATCTGTCCTGCGCGCGCATCACCGACCGATTCGCGTTTGTCCTAAACTGTTATTTTAGGGCCAGCGCACTAGTCCGTTTTAGTTGTTCGGTCGGCCCGGTCCTTACGCTAGTAATATATAAGTCAATGGTGGGGACGCATTCCACATCATATTTCGGTACTCTTTGCCGCATCACCATTTTTCTGGTCCTTCGATTCGCATGATAACGAATGTATTATCTATCTTTGATTAAAATAAAAATGCAGATGCGCTGTCACTCCGGAGGATTAAGATGAATGCTTTGAAAGGAATGCTTAGTTTTCAGTAAAAAGGGTTTCTTACATTGACCATAAGGAACACTTGTTTTGTACTTGACTTGTATCTCTATTTTTACCAATTTTCCTTCTTTATTTTATAACATGTAGTGTTTACTCCCTGGTTGGTATGGTGGTGGCGATTGCTGAACATGAGGTCCCGGTTTCGAATCCCGGGTCGGGCCAAAGTCAGTTATTGGGTTTTATGTCAAGAAATTCTCAGTAGCAACCCAGTAGTGTCGGACTACCGCTCCATCGGACTATGAAAGTGAAGGAATAAAGAGTACACCTGCTCTTGCGCATACACTTGGGCACTACAATCCTGTCCTGCGTAGATAGCTGGTCTCCGTTGAGACTGGTCGCCGTGACCGAAATTCGGACTGGACGACATTATTATATAGTTTAGATACATAACTAACCTTCTACATAGCGCTTTAAGTACCGACGTCTTCTCTTGCGTTCCTGTATACGGCCCTACGTATATAAGTTTGTCCAAACGCCCAGGACGAAGTAGCGACTGCTCTAACAGATCCGGACGGTTTGTGGCGCCCATTATGAATACGAAATTGGATGTATCTGCATCTAAAACATAGTTTCAATGAAAACTTATTCGTAATGAAGATATTCAGTAAAATTAGTTTTCATTTATTAAATAACGGTGACAAAGTAGCATAAAGCCCACCTAATGGTAACTGGATGGTGAGGCACATATATATCTCATCATTTATACTCGGTGAATAATCAAAATGCAGATGCATTGTCACCCATTAGAACAAAGATGGATTGCCTTATTTCCAGTAAAAGAATTTTTGGTTCCCTACACTGAACATACGAAACATAGTAAGCATGAGGCTGTTATTTTACTTTGGTATTCAATAAGAGCGTGGTCCTACCCCAGTTGAGCTGACCCATTAGTGCTACAACCATAATATAGCTGCAGCTTGACTCTACAAGGAGTCTTAGAAGGTCTTACAAGGGGTCGCTCAACAACCGATGCCGGAGTTGAGCTTATAAACCATATTTTTTGTGCATGGGAGAATTCAGCATTGGGTATATTTTGTGACCTTTCCAAGGCCTTCGACCGTGTTCAACATGAGACATTAATCAGGAAACTACAGTACTATGGTGTCAAGAACACAGCGCTTAAACTAGTTATTTCATATTTAAGTAATAGAGTGCAGAAAGTTGTTATCAGTGGTAAAAGTTCTTCCGGATGGCCCCTACAGATGGGTGTCCCGCTGGGTTCAATTCTTGCCCATTCCTATTTTTAGGATACTTCTTTGATTTTTAAACTTAAACGTCAATCATTTAAATGTGACGAAGTGAATAATGTTATATCGAAATTAGTGCATTGGTTTAACGTTAATAATCTACATTTAAACGGCAATAAAACTAAATGTAATAAATTTACAACAACAAATTTTTATAATCTGAATACCAATGTGTTTTTAAATGGGGAAGAAATGAGTCCTGTTGAGTCCTCTGTTTTTCTCTCGACGCTAAGCTTCAGTGGGGCCCCCATATATCTAAACTAGCAAGCAGACTAAGCTCTGCAGCTTATGCTGTAAATAAGATTAGAGATCTCATTAGTGTCGAGACAGCTAGATTGGTTTATTTCAGTTATTTCCATAATGTCATATGGAATTTTGCTATGGTGGAATGCGGCTGATTTAGAAACTATTTTTGCTTTGCAGATGAGGGCTATTAGAGCTATTTACAACCTTAAACAGAGTCTCTTAGAGAAAAATTAAAAGAAATAAATATATTAATGACGATTCTTTCGTAGTTCTGCAAGACCCGCCACAGAAGAAAACAAAAACTCTGCGATCACACTCTTAATCTCATGGCTGTTAGACGGGAGATGAGGCTGCAATCGTCAACAGATTTGACAGCATGCAGGCAACTGAAGAGACAGATCTCCAAATGCATGCGGCGAGACTTACGCAACTTATATACTGCTCGTATTAAAGAAGCGATCGAGCGGACCCAGGGCTCCAAAGTCTTTGCCAGAGATCTGTCTGCCAGTAAGAGCCAACTGTCACAGCTGAAGACTGAGTGTGGCAGCATCGTTTCCGGGACACCTGAGACTGAGAGGTTCTATGGGCATCTGTACACATCATCGTTGGAGCCACACGCAAGTGTGCAATCGAACCGAAGAGTACAATCTGCCACTTTGCCTCGCGTATGTGGACTATGAGAAAGCCTTTGATTCTGTCGAAATTTGGGCGGTGCTACAGTCCCTTCAGCGGTGCCAAGTCGACTGTCGTTATATCGAAGTGCTGAAGTGTTTGTACAGTAGGGCTACGATGGCTATCCGAGTACAGAACCAGAGCTCGAAACCTATCCAACTGCAGAGAGGTGTAAGACAGGGTGCCGTTATATCCCCGAAACTCTTCACCGCTGCATTGGAAGACGTTTTCAAGCTACTAGACTGGAAAGGGTACGGTATTAACATCAATGGCGAGTACATCACTCACCTTCGATTCGCCGACCATATAGTCTTTATGGCAGAATCGCTGGAGGACTTAAGCACTAAGCTCAATGACCTCAATAGTGCCTCCCAACGGATAGGTCTTAAGATGAACATGGACAAAACAAAGATCACGTTTAATGTCCATGTCACACCTATGCCGGTAGTTGTTGGGAGCACTATGCTCGAAGTTGTTGACGAGTACGTTTACCTGGGACAAATAGTCCGACTAGGTAAGTCCAACTTCGACCGAGAGGTCAATCGACGGATTCAACTCGGCTGGGCAGCTTTCGGGAAATTACGACATATCTTCAGTATCAGTACAGTCAGGTATACCTCAATCTCTAAAAACTAGATTGTACAACCAGTGCGTGTTGCCAGTGATGACTTACGGATCTGAGACGTGGTCCTTCACTGCTGGCCGTATGAGGACGCTCAAGCTCGCTCAGCGAGCTATGGAGAGGGCTATGCTCGGAGTTTCTCTGCGTGATAGACTCAGAAATGAGGATATCCGCAGTAGAACCAGAGTGACCAACATAGCCCAACGGATTAGTAAGCTGAAGTGGCAATGGGCCGGCTATATAGCTCGAAGAACCGATAACCGATGGGGAAGAAAGGTTCTCGAGTGGCAGCCTCGTACCGGTAGGCGTAGTGTAGGCGACCCCCCACTAGATGGAGTGACAACCTGCTAAGATATGTAGGAAGTCGATGGATGCAGGTGGCTCAGGACCGTGCTTTGTGGCATTACTTGGGGGATGCCTATGTTCAGCAGTGGACTTGTGAAGGGCTGTAACGATGATGATGATGAAAATATATTAACTATGGATTCTCAGTATATCTACGAAAATTTGATGTATGTTCACAAAAATAAAGGTAGTTTTAGTAAAAAAGTGACATACACTCTGTAAACACTAGGAACAAACACAAGCGAGTGCTACCAGTTTCTCGACTCCACAGAGTCAGTAATTCATTCTTGGGGCAATGTATACGCTATTAAAACAAAATCCCAGCAATTTAAAAAGTTCTCTCTATTACCATGTTTAAATATATATGATAATATAAATGAATACGTGGTTGATAATAACCCCTGGGAATGAGGTGGTCGCTTACAAGCTGTTTCTAAAATAAATTTTGTAAATATTTTGTGATCGTTGCTATTATAAAATTTATTTTTTAAAAAAGTCCCGCTGGGTTTCTTGCTGGTTCTTCCCAGGACAGAGGTTTTTCTTCGAACCAGTAGTAACGTAAAATATTGACTTTAAATAAGAATTACTTGTAATCTATATTGAATAAAAAATTATTCTATTCTATTCTATTCAATTCTATTCTACCATGTACCAAGTATGACCGACATTTCCCAACAGATCAGTAAGCTGAAATGGCAATGAGCCGGCCATATTCTTGTAACCGAAGGGTAGCAAACGGTTCTCGAGTGGCAATTTCGTACCGGGCAAACACTTTATAAACGGCAACTCCGCGCCGAGAACAGGGCATTTTGGGGGAGGGAAATTAATTCTCGTGCGAGGGAATCAAAAGAAAGCATAGTTTTCAAAACAGTTACTGAAGGCGATCAGTGTACTACAGATTCTTTACGGAAAGTATGATCCAGGATAAGCGGGCTTCTTTTAGCGGTGAAAAGACACGCTTGTGATTTGGAGGGATTGAATCTCAAAACGTTAACCGTGTAGTGGCAGTGTAAGAATGCCGACTACCTCATATCGTCCCGTGGGTGTCGTAAGAAGATACAGAGGTTAGTTTCTCAGACTCGGAAGATTTATTTAATGTTATCCTTCACCGCAAGGACTTTGTAAATCCACACTTAAAATATAATTTACTTAATAATTTCATTTGTGCCAGTGACCTTCAATTTAATTCTGCATCCTAATAAAATACTTTTATAAAAAGCTTATATAAAAAGAGTTATTGAAGGAGTCCCCGAGGTCGTAACGGGGGTCACTGATCAATCAGCCTTATGTTACGAGTCTTGACGTTTGTCCGTGAGATATTTGTGTATGTGAAATGCCTTTACAAAACAATAAAATATCCTACTGTGACTTAATTGGTAACTTTTTTATTGAATGATAAATGAACACATAGTTCACTATTATTATTTTATTTTTATTTTATTGAACTCCTATCTCTCGAGTAGTACTTTCAACAATAAAAGACAAGGACGGAATCGGAATTGTAAAAAAAGTATATTTTAGAACTGCAATTTGGAATATATTATACTGACCACCAGGCCAAAAAAAAGTTACAGCCTATATAAGTCCCACTGCTGGGCACAGGCCTCCCCTCATTTTTGAGAGAGTTTTAGGGCAAGGAAGTGTCCGCCGCGCTGCCCCAATGCGTGTTGGCGAACTTCACATGTCTTCGATATATTTTTTTTTATTCCTCAGACATGCAAGTTTCCTCAAGAGGTGGTATATCAGCACTTAAAATTGAAATTAACAATTTCATTGGTGCCGCCGGGGATCGAACCCAGGTTACTCGCATTCTGTTATATTTACAGCGAGTGTTAACCATCTGAGCTACGACGGCTCCTGAGGTCAACAGCATACTTTAATTATATTTTTTTTTAATAAAACTTATATTACTAGGCGACGACTGGTGTATAGAAAGAAATATAATTTGTGTAGTGTGTATGTGTAGCACAGTGTATATCTAACCATCTGGCTGCGGCCGTATCGTGGTAGCTAAGGTGCTAGCTGAGTGCTCGCTGTAAATATTAAGTGCTCAATTACTCTACTTTTAATAGCACAAGGGAATTTGGTAATAATATAATCTATGTAAACTCTGACAGACAAGCAGCACTGCTAGCGCTGAGGTCAAACTTGGTAAACTCGAAGCTAGTTGGAGACTGCGTGAACCATCTAAACGCCCTGGGATGTTACAACACGGTCGTTCTAAGATGGGTTCCGGGGCACGCGGGTATTGTAGGCAATGAACTTGCCAAGCTTGCACAGTAGGACTCAAAAAAGTACACAATTTGGACCCGAGCCATTTTGTGGAATCTCTAAAAGCTTAGCCCGATTGACCCTTAAAACTCGTTATCACACCAGGCTTAAAACATTCTAAAAACTTAATCCGAGCTTTTAATCGTAAATTCATTTCGGAAGCCCTATGACTAAGTAAAAATAAATTGCGCATTCTGGCAAGAGCCCTGACTGGACACTGTTGTCTTAAAAAGCACATGTCCATCCTGGGACTAAGCAACTCAAGGATGTGCTGGTTCTGTTTAACAGAACTTAACGGAAGAAATGCCTCTGCACATTTTTACTGATTGCGGACCCTTAATGCGCAAACGCAACACTCATCTGGGAAACTATGTACTCCGCCCAGAAGTGAAATTGCTCACAGCTAAGCAACTCTCAACTAATTGAAGATGTAGGGCTGGGCAGCGGACTATAGCCATAGCAGTGATTATAATGGATCCTTTAGGTCACAGTGATACTGGTCTCTTTTTCTAGACCTGTACAGCTACTTGCACAGAAAAAAATATTAAGTGCTCAATTACTCTACTTTTAATAGCACAAATGAATTTATTAAATGCTATTTTTAGTGCCGATTTACCACTTGCTCGGCGTTGAAGGATAATATCGAGATGAAACCTGCACGTCTGAGCTACCAAAAAATATTTCGAAGCGATGTGAAATTCGTCAACACACAGCGTGGCGGACATTTTCTTGTTCTTAAGCCCGTTTAGAATTGTGAAGAGGCCAATGCCTAGTAGTGGAACTTATATGAGCTGTAAAAAGTGAAAGAGGTACCTTCCCCGCTGGTGACGCCATCCACTTCGGCTAGCAGCTGACTGACGACGCGGTCGCTGGCGCCGCCTGAGTCCCCAGCAGCGCCGCGGCGAGGCGCCAGCGCGTCCAGCTCGTCCAAGAACACTATGCATGGCGACGAAGCGCGTGCCGACTCGAACACTGAAATCAAACCCCTAATTACAAACACCTCATTTTTTGTTGGCATATAAAATTATTGTAATAATAAATTATTATTTACTATTTTTTATGAAAGATATATAACGCATTGAATATGTTAGCAAAATTAAATTACCTTTTCGGACATTTTCTTCTGACTGACCTATATACATGTTGAGCAACTCTGGCCCTTTCACACTTAGAAAGCTGACATTTAATTCTGTACTAACAGCTTTCGCTACTAATGTCTTACCACAGCCAGGTGGCCCATACAATAATATACCTAAAACAAATAATAATCTTAATACTGCTATAATGTTAAAAAGATAAACATTTTATAACTGACATTTTACATTTTATAGCAAACAAAAAGCCAATCTATCCACAAGGCCTTGTCTTATGTTTTTAATTTACATTAATGACTTTACAGAGGCTCTCAAGGAATACTGTGTTATGTTTGCGGACGATATTTCTATTCTTATATCAAGCCAAAGTCCAATGAATCTAACAGAAAAAATTAACAATATATTATTAAGAACAACGGACTGGCCAACTAAACATAACCTGCGGATAAACTTATCGAAAACTAAAATAATGTCTTTTCACCCATATCAAAAACCAAAATTAGATATAAAAATAGATAATGACAGCTTCACTATAGATACAGTTAACGAGTACAACCTACTAGGCCCAATAATAGATATCCATATTACTTGGAAACCACACATAGAAAAATTACATAGGAAGTTAAGCAGCTTTATGTACGCGTTACGAGAAGTAAAAAAAAAACAACAGATGTAACCACCGCGATAACAACCTACTACGCGTATGCATATGCATGGCTCAGCTACGGCATTGTCCTATGGGGATGCAGTACTGAGGCCTCAAGTTTATTAACTAAACAAAAAAACTAATACGGATCATAGCTAATATACAAAACACAGAAAGCTGTAAACCTTACTTTAAGAAGTATGACATTTTAAGTCTGTCCTGTATCTAAATTTTGAAACTATGCAAATTTGTCAAAAAAATCCAAGCTTGTACACAAAACGCGATGACATCATATCTAGGAATCTAAGACAGAGAAACAAACTGGTGCTACCAACTTCAAACCTAAAATCTCATTCATCCAGCCCATTTGCCATGTCTATAAAAGTATATAATAAATTACCCGAATATATAAAAAACATTAAGAACGAAAAACCATTTGAAAAAAAAATTAAAGCAACTACTTATAAACAAGTGTTACTATAGTACTTCTGAATTTTTAGAAGATAAAAATATAATATAATATAGATATAAATATAAATGTTAGGTAATAAGGAAATGCCATCCTACTAAATAAATTACAATAAAAAATTATAATAAAATTTAAAATGATTCAAATAATTTAATAAAAATTCAATTGTGCTACCTATAATAATATATCAAACGTTAAAATCAATTAATAAATAATAACAATTATAATAGCCGTATTCCATATTCAATGTGTGTATGTTTATATAATATAATGAATGTTAATATTAAATAATTATTTAGCAATAATAATAATAAAACAAAATAAATGTTCCTCCTTCATAATATTGCTGTGCCCATGAGGGTCTATAGAGATACCATAAAACTATGTAACACCTTTTGTAACCTATGAAATGCAATAAAGTTATTGAGTATTGGGCCACTTATAATCACAACATAGCCTGTGTTATTTTTTTAAAGCATTCAGTGACAAAACGAGCACACAGTCCACCAGATGTTAAGTGGATGCTGTGGCTTATGGGCATCCACATTTATCCTCAATTAAGAACCAAAATGCAAATGCATTGTCACCCCTGAGGACTAAGATGGAATGCCTCGATTCCAGTAAAAAGGGTCTCCGGTTCTCTACACTCACCATACGAAACGCAGCAGCATAAAGTTGCTATTTTACGCTGGTATTCTGTGAGAGCGTGGTCCTGCCCCGGTCGAGCCGACCCGTTCGTGCTACAACTATAATATAGCTGCAGTGTGGCTCTACCGCATACCAAATGTTATTCATAGATTGTCTGATATTTGCTTATTTGCCAGTTAGTTGATTTCTCCTGTATTATGAATGAGTTTTACATACAATAATTTTATCTTACGTACAAACAACAGGGAAAACAATTTGTAAGCCACACAAATATTTGTTCAGCAAGGGACTCGAAACTGCGGCCCACAAAGAAAGACAGCAACTGTGCTACCAATTTGTCAATATTAAAAGCTTAATCTGAAAGAGCATTTTTTTCTCCATCATGAATTTCCATTATGTAACGTCGTTTCTTAATATAAAGTAAATACCTGATCGTTTAAGTGTTGAATTTTTGAATAGATGTGGGTACTTGATAGGAAATTCAATGGTTTTTAGGAGTTCCTTCTTAAGTTTATCTAAGCCTCCAATATCATCCCAATATACTTTAGGAATTTTTGGGGCATCCAAATGTTGACTTTGTAGACTTCTGATTGATTCTGTGAAAAAATATTTGAAAACAAATAGTACAGTATATATTGTATTTTAATAGACAGACATTTGAACTAGATATCTACAGTTTGCAGAATTTAGCAAAATTTCCACTTAGCAAACTTGACTACCAATTGGAGTAAAAGTTTCCTCAAATATTAGACATTAATTTAGACATATCCCTATTCCTCATCGGGCCTCTTTTGTGTATGGATTTGCTTTAATCATCACACTTGGCCAAAATTTGATGTTATTCAACTTTTTGCAACATTACTCTGTGTTAGCTATGGTTGCCTATAACTGGGTGAGCATGTTGCAAATTTCTTACAATCTTGTTTTAGTTTTTGTATTTCATCTGTCGGTGACACTTATATATAAATAATAAAAAAAGGATTGACAATTGCTGCATCATTGGGTTAATACAAGGTGATGTCAAAAAATTTTGAAGTCATTTAACATGATAAATATGATGATTTCTTACGCGAACACTACACATTGAATAAAACTATTATTTACGGATTTACGCAAATTTGCGTAAATCGGATCAAAAATTAATATTAAAAAACTGAAGGTAGCCGGACTAACTATGACATTGGGACGTCAAACATCTCAGTCCCCCCGTGACCATGGGCGCTGTAAAGCACCCGAAACGTCGGGATAATAATAAAAACAAATTAAAGTAATTAAACGCGATAAAATCCGTAAATAATAGTTTTATTCAATGATAAATATGGGCATAGCTCGGTCATGACAACTAGAAAGATGACTCCAATCATGACATAAGTTATAACAACTTGAATGATCACCACCATGCTGGTTCTATAAAAATTCATTCAAAAATTGTACATAATTAATTTATTGTAAATTGAAATATGTTTTAAAAAAAGTCCCGCTGGGTTTGTTGCTGGTTCTTCCCAGGACAGAGGTTTATTTTTTCGAACCAGTGGTAAATAAAAAAATGACTTTCAATAAGTATTATACAATAATCTATATTAAATAAAAATAATTCATTTCATTTCATTTTAATTGTAGCGGGAAGTTGCTGGGCGCAAGTACCTAATCAAGACCATGCACGCTGCAAGATTCGTATTGTGCGGCATTCAGGCATGTGTCAATCGTGAATGAATTATTCACTTAACCCAGGTTGCATCAAAGTATTGACATGATCGATACTGGGTTTTTTTGCAATAACCGGCAGATCAGATTCAGAATAAGTAATAAAGGCTAATGGTGAAGAAAAATTAATTAGAAATAATTGCTACACAACCACACCTCATATGGTTTCCATTATAACTCTCAAAGACCACTGCTGAACATAGGCCTCTTACATGGATTGCCTAATAGGGGGGATATTTCATGGTTGCCATGCTCGCCAGACGGGTTGGCAACTGCAGATTTTTTATAAGAAAAAGCTGCTGCTCATCTATTGGTTTGATTCCTACTGTTGCTTCTTACGACACTGTGACATTATGGGGAAGTGGATATTCTTACACTGCCATTACACAGTAGACACTGACTACATACACTAACACTGCCTCGTTGGTCTAGTGGTTATAGTAGTGCGACTGTTGATCAAGAGGTCCTGGGTTCGAATTCCGGGTCGGCCCAAAAAAATCAGTTATTAAGTTTTTCTGTCCAGAAATTCTCAGTAGCTGCCCGGAGTCAGGAAGTTGGCCGTGTCTCACCCCCGTGCCCCGGAAAGCACGTTAAGCCGTTGGTCCTGCGCCTGATCTATCTCCGGTCGTGTCGGTTTACCGTCCCATCGGATTATGAGTGTGAGGGAATAGAGAGTGCACCTGTGCTTGCGCATACACTTGGGCACTATAATCCTGTGAGCTAGCCGTTGAGGCAGGCCGCCATGACCGAAATTCGGTCTGGAAGACATTATTACACTAACATGAAATAGTTATAGAATAATTATTGTAAGATTGCTTTTGGTCGTAACTCATGATTAAATTGTGATAGTGACAATTTAGACTATAGATTCCCAGATACTCAGATTACATCTGTGATTACCTAATGCTGAATTGAAATCTTCTTCCTTCAAAAGCTGTAAATTAGGATCTTGTGGAAACTGACTGTAGCCATTGTGTTGTTTCAAATATGATTCTCTCATAGCAAAGTGTACAAGCGTATCTAGATCGCCATAGACAAATGTCTCAGTTTTAGATGCAATCTTTTTTAGTACATCCTTTGAATAATTGCTTAAAGTTGATAAACTGGACGTGTTGTCTAAGTCAATATTAATTTTATTTAACTTTATCTGCTCATCATTCTCATCTAACTTCAGTTGCATTGCAGCAGCAAACCATTGCAGCATTTCATACCTTTGCTGCACATTCAGTTTAGGAATGTGGAACTTGTCAAGAAATATCCTCATAACATTTGGTTTCAAATCCATTTGCTCAGTTATTGCAATAAATATTATAGGATGCTTAGTGTAATTCTCGTATAAATTCGTTATTGAATTAATAAAATATTCTAATACTCTGTGATCTTCATTGTTTTCTGGGTCAACTGCAAACACCTAAAAATTGTAATGAAAGGTAAAAAGCCTAGACGTGGAAATATATATTGTATGCTGCTATAGTGCATTAGAAAATTAATTTGCTTAAATTGTCAGTAAAATGGTGTCTATGATGTATTATAAAAAGCCGGAAGTTCCAACGACAAATTCAAAAATTTCGATTAAACAGGTACAGTTAGGGTTTAAAGTCCAAAGTTCACAAACGACAAAAATTATTCTCACACACAATCAAAAATTAATTGTTAATGGCGAAATACAGGTATCGGATGAGAGGCTGGGGGATTGTATGTGTGTGGATGAGGCAATCTACGGGTGTGGACGAGAGGATGGCCAATCTATGGGTGTGGATGTGAGGATGGTGCAATCTATGGGTTTGGATGAGAGGATAGGGCAATCTATGGACGTGGTTGAGAGGATGGGGCAGTCTATAGGTGTGGACGAGAGGATGGAGCAATCTATGGTTGTGGACGAGAGGATGAGGTTATCTATGGGTGTGGATGAGAGGATGGGGCAATCTATGGGTGTGGATAAGAGGAGGGGGCTATCTATGAGTGTGGATGAGAGGATGGGGCAATCTATGGGTGTGGATGAGAGAATGGGGCAATCTATGGGTGTGGATGAGAGAATGGGGCAATCTATGGGTGTTGATGAGAGAATGGGGCAATCTATGGGTGTGGATGAGAGGATGGGGCAATCGATGGGTGTGGATGAGAGGATGGGGCAATCTATGGGTGTGGATGAGAGGATGGGGCAATCTATGGGTGTGGATGAGAGGATGGGGCAATCTATGGGTGTGGATGAGAGGATGGGGAAATCTATGGGTGTGGATGTGAGAATGGGGCAATCTATGGGTGTGGATGAGAGGATGGGGCAATCTATGGGTGTGGAGGAGAGCATGGGGCAATCTATGGGTGTGGATGAGAGAATGGGGCAATCTATGGGTGTTGATGAGAGGATGGGGCAATCTATGGGTGTGGATGAGAGGATGGGGCAATCTATGGGTGTTGATGAGAGAATGGGGCAATCTATGGGTGTGGATGAAAGAATGGGGCAATCTGTGGGTGTGGATGAGAGAATGGGGCAATCTATGGGTGTGGATGAGAGAATGGGGCAATCTATGGGTGTGGATGAGAGGATGGGGCAATCTATGGGTGTTGATGAAAGGATGGGGCAATCTATGGGTGTGGATGAGAGAATGGGGCAATATATGGGCGTGGATGAGAGAATGGGGCAATCTATGGGCGTGGATGAGAGAATGGGGCAATCTATGGGTGTGGATGAGAGAATGGGGCAATCTATGGGTGTGGATGAGAGATGGGGCAATCTATGGGTGTGGATGAGAGAATGGGGCAATCTATGGGTGTGGATGAGAGAATGGGGCAATCTATGGGCGTGGATGAGAGAATGGGGCAATCTATGGGTGTGGATGAGAGAATGGGGCAATCTATGGGTGTTGATGAGAGGATGGGGTAACAATCTATGGATGTGGATGAGAGGATGGGGCAATCTATGGGTGTGGATGAGAGAACGGGGCAATCTATGGGTGTGGATGAGAGAATGGGGCAATCTATGGGTGTTGATGAGAGAATGGGGCAATCTAAGGGTGGTTTTGAGAGGATGGGGCAATCTATGGGTGTGGATAAGAGAATGGGGCAATCTATGGGTGTGGATGAGAGAATGGGACAATCTATGGGTGTGGATGAGAGAATGGGGCAATCTATGGGTGTTGATGAGAGGATGGGGCAATCTATGGGTGTGGATGAGAGGATGGGGCAATCTATGGGTGTGGATGAGAGGATGGGGCAATCCATGGGTGTGGATGAAAGGATGGGGCAATCTATGGGTGTGGGTGAGAGGATGGGGCAATCTATGGGTGTGGATGAGAGGATGGGGCAATCTATGGGTGTGGATGAGAGAATGGGGCAATCTATGGGTGTTCATGAGAGGATGGGGCAATCTATGGGTGTGGATGAGAGGAAGGGGCAATCTATGGGTGTTGATGAGAGGATGGGGCAATTCTTGGGTGTGGACGAGAGGATGGGGCAATTCATGTTTGTGGATGAGAGTATGGGGCAATCTATGGGTGTGGATGAGAGGATCGGGCAATCTATGGGTGTGGATGAGAGGATGGGGCAATTCTTGGGTGTGGACGAGAGGATGGGGCAATTCATGTTTGTGGATGAGAGGATGGGGCAATCTATGGGTGAGGATGAGAGAATGGGGCAATCTATGGGTGTGGATGAGAGGATCGGGCAATCTATGGGTGTGGATGAGAGGATGGGGCAATTCTTGGGTGTGGACGAGAGGATGGGGCAATTCATGTTTGTGGATGAGAGGATGGGGCAATCTATGGGTGAGGATGAGAGAATGGGGCAATCTATGGGTGTGGATGAGAGGATGGGGCAATTCTTGGGTGTGAACGAGAGGATGGGGCAATTCATGTTTGTGGATGAGAGTATGGGGCAATCTATGGGTGTGGACGAGAGGATGAGGCTAACTATATGTGTGGATGAGAGGCTGGGTCAATCTATGGGTGTGAATGAGAGGATGGGGCAGTATATGGATATGGACGAGAGGATGGGGCAATCTATAGGTGTGGATGAGAGGATGGGGCAGTCTATGGATATGGACGAGAGGATGGGGCAATCTATGGGTGTGGATGAGAGGATGGGGCAGTCTATGGATATGGACGAGAGGATGGGGCAATCTATGGGTGTGCATGAGAGGATGGGACAATCTATGGGTGTGAATGAGAGGATGGGGCAGTCTATGGATATGGACGAGAGGATGGGGCAATCTATGGGTGTGGATGAGAGAATGGGGCAGTCTATGGATATGGACGAGAGGATGGGGCAATCTATGGGTGTGGATGAGAGGATGGGAAAATCTATGGGTGTGGATGAGAGGATGGGGCAGTCTATGGATATGGACGAGAGGATGGGGCAATCTATGGGTGTGGATGAGAGGATGGGACAATCTATGGGTGTGGACGAAAGGATGTGGCAATTTATGGGTGTTGCTGATAAGATGGGGCAATTCATGGTTGTGGATGAGAGGTTGGGGCAATCTATGGGTGGGGATGAGAGGATGAGGCAATCTATGGGTGTGGATGAAAGGTCTTTCCAATTCATGTGTGTGGATGAGAGGATGAGGCAGTCTATGGAAGTGGACGAGAGGATGGGGCAATCTATGGGTGTCGATGAGAGGATGGGGCAATTAATGAGTGTGGTTGAGAGGACGAGGCAATCTATGGATTTGGACGAGAGGATGGGGCAATCTATGGATGTGGACGAGAGGATTGGGCAATCTATGGGTGTGGATGAGAGGATGAGGCAATCTATGGGTGTGGATGAAAGGTCTTTACAATTCATGTGTGTGGATGAGAGGATGAGGCAATCTATGGGTGTGGACGAGAGGTTGGGGCAATTCATGGGTGTGGATGAGAGGATGAGGCAATCTATGGATTTGGACGAGATGATGGGGCAATTCATGGGTGTGTATGAGGATGAGGCAATTTATGGATGTGGATGAGAGGATGAGGCAATCTATGGAAGTGGACGAGAGGATGGGGCAATCTATGGGTGTCGATGAGAGGATGGGGCAATTAATGAGTGTGGATGAGAGGACGAGGCAATCTATGGATTTGGACGAGAGGATGGGGCAATCTATGGATGTGGACGAGAAGATTGGGCAATCTATGGGTGTGAATGAGAGAGGCAATCTATGGATGTGGATGAAAGGATGGGGCAATCTATGGGTGTGGATGAGAGGATGGGGCAATTCATGTTTGTGGATGAGAGTATGGGGCAATCTATGGGTGTGGATGAGAGGATCGGGCAATCTATGGGTGTGGATGAGAGGATGGGGCAATTCTTGGGTGTGGACGAGAGGATGGGGCAATTCATGTTTGTGGATGAGAGGATGGGGCAATCTATGGGTGAGGATGAGAGAATGGGGCAATCTATGGGTGTGGATGAGAGGATCGGGCAATCTATGGGTGTGGATGAGAGGATGGGGCAATTCTTGGGTGTGGACGAGAGGATGGGGCAATTCATGTTTGTGGATGAGAGGATGGGGCAATCTATGGGTGAGGATGAGAGAATGGGGCAATCTATGGGTGTGGATGAGAGGATGGGGCAATTCTTGGGTGTGAACGAGAGGATGGGGCAATTCATGTTTGTGGATGAGAGTATGGGGCAATCTATGGATCTGGACGAGAGGATGAGGCTAACTATATGTGTGGATGAGAGGCTGGGTCAATCTATGGGTGTGAATGAGAGGATGGGGCAGTATATGGATATGGACGAGAGGATGGGGCAATCTATAGGTGTGGATGAGAGGATGGGGCAGTCTATGGATATGGACGAGAGGATGGGGCAATCTATGGGTGTGGATGAGAGGATGGGGCAGTCTATGGATATGGACGAGAGGATGGGGCAATCTATGGGTGTGCATGAGAGGATGGGACAATCTATGGGTGTGAATGAGAGGATGGGGCAGTCTATGGATATGGACGAGAGGATGGGGCAATCTATGGGTGTGGATGAGAGAATGGGGCAGTCTATGGATATGGACGAGAGGATGGGGCAATCTATGGGTGTGGATGAGAGGATGGGAAAATCTATGGGTGTGGATGAGAGGATGGGGCAGTCTATGGATATGGACGAGAGGATGGGGCAATCTATGGGTGTGGATGAGAGGATGGGACAATCTATGGGTGTGGACGAAAGGATGTGGCAATTTATGGGTGTTGCTGATAAGATGGGGCAATTCATGGTTGTGGATGAGAGGTTGGGGCAATCTATGGGTGGGGATGAGAGGATGAGGCAATCTATGGGTGTGGATGAAAGGTCTTTCCAATTCATGTGTGTGGATGAGAGGATGAGGCAATCTATGGAAGTGGACGAGAGGATGGGGCAATCTATGGGTGTCGATGAGAGGATGGGGCAATTAATGAGTGTGGTTGAGAGGACGAGGCAATCTATGGATTTGGACGAGAGGATGGGGCAATCTATGGATGTGGACGAGAGGATTGGGCAATCTATGGGTGTGGATGAGAGGATGAGGCAATCTATGGGTGTGGATGAAAGGTCTTTACAATTCATGTGTGTGGATGAGAGGATGAGGCAATCTATGGGTGTGGACGAGAGGTTGGGGCAATTCATGGGTGTGGATGAGAGGATGAGGCAATCTATGGATTTGGACGAGATGATGGGGCAATTCATGGGTGTGTATGAGGATGAGGAAATTTATGGATGTGGATGAGAGGATGAGGCAATCTATGGAAGTGGACGAGAGGATGGGGCAATCTATGGGTGTCGATGAGAGGATGGGGCAATTAATGAGTGTGGATGAGAGGACGAGGCAATCTATGGATTTGGACGAGAGGATGGGGCAATCTATGGATGTGGACGAGAAGATTGGGCAATCTATGGGTGTGGATGAGAGAGGCAATCTATGGATGTGGATGAAAGGATGGGGCAATCTATGGGTGTGGATGAGAGGATGGGGCAATTCATGAGTGTGGATGAGAGGATGTGTTAATTTATGGATGTGGACAAGAGGATGAGGCAATCTATGGATGTGGATGAGAGGATGGGGGCAATCTATGGGTGTGTATGAGAGGATGGAGCAAATCATGAGTATGGATGAGAGGATGAGGCAATCTATGGATTTGGACGAGAGGATGGGGCAATCTATGGATGTGGACGAGAGGACTGGGCAATCTATGCGTGTGGATGAGAGGATGAGGCAATTCATGAGTGTGGATGAGAGGATGAGGCAATCTATGGATGTGGATGGAAGGATGGAGCAATCTATGGGTTTGGATGAGAGGATGGGGCAATTCATGAGTGTGGATGAGAGGATGTGTTAATTTATGGATGTGGACATGAGGATGAGGCAATCTATGGATGTGGATTAGAGGATGGGACAATCTATGGGTGTGAATGAGAGGATGGGGCAGTCTATGGATATGGACGAGAGGATGGGGCAATCTATGGGTGTGGATGAGAGAATGGGGCAATCTTTGGATGTGGAGGAGAGGATTGGGCAATCTATGCGTGTGGATGAGAGGATGTGTTAATTTATGGATGTGGACAAGAGGATGAGGCAATCTATGGATTTGGACGAGAGGATGGGGCAATCTACGGATGTGGACGAGAGGATTGGGCAATCTATGCGTGTAGATGAGAGGATGGGGCAATCTATGGGTGTGGATGAGAGAATGGGGCAATCTATGGGTGTGGATGAGAGGATAGGGCAATCTATGGGTGTGGATGAGAGGATGGGGCAATCTATGGGTGTGGATGAGAGGATGGGTCAATATATGGGTGTGGATGAGTGGATGGGGCAATCTATGGGTGTGGATGAGAGGATGGGGCAATCTATGGGTGTGGACGAGAGGATTGGGCAATCTATGCGTGTAGATGAGAGGATGGGGCAATCTATGGGTGTGGATGAGAGAATGGGGCAATCTATGGGTGTGGATGAGAGGATAGGGCAATCTATGGGTGTGGACGAGAGGATGGGGCAATCTATGGATGTGGACGAGAAGATTGGGCAATCTATGGGTGTGAATGAGAGAGGCAATCTATGGATGTGGATGAAAGGATGGGGCAATCTATGGGTGTGGATGAGAGGATGGGGCAATTCATGAGTGTGGATGAGAGGATGTGTTAATTTATGGATGTGGACAAGAGGATGAGGCAATCTATGGATGTGGATGAGAGGATGGGGCAATCTATGGGTGTGTATGAGAGGATGGAGCAAATCATGAGTATGGATGAGAGGATGAGGCAATCTATGGATTTGGACGAGAGGATGGGGCAATCTATGGATGTGGACGAGAGGATTGGGCAATCTATGCGTGTGGATGAGAGGATGAGGCAATTCATGAGTGTGGATGAGAGGATGAGGCAATCTATGGATGTGGATGGAAGGATGGAGCAATCTATGGGTTTGGATGAGAGGATGGGGCAATTCATGAGTGTGGATGAGAGGATGTGTTAATTTATGGATGTGGACAAGAGGATGAGGCAATCTATGGATGTGGATTAGAGGATGGGACAATCTATGGGTGTGAATGAGAGGATGGGGCAGTCTATGGATATGGACGAGAGGATGGGGCAATCTATGGGTGTGGATGAGAGGATGGGGCAATCTATGGATGTGGAGGAGAGGATTGGGCAATCTATGCGTGTGGATGAGAGGATGTGTTAATTTATGGACGTGGACAAGAGTATAAGGCAATCTATGGATGTGGATGAGAGGATGGGGCAATCTATGGGTGTGGATAAGAGGATGGGGCAATCTATGAGTGTGGATGAGAGGATGGGGCAATCTATGGGTGTGGATGAGAGAATGGGGCAATCTATGGGTGTGGATGAGAGGATAGGGCAATCTATGGGTGTGGATGAGAGGATGGGGCAATCTATGGGTGTGGATGAGAGGATGGGTCAATATATGGGTGTGGATGAGTGGATGGGGGAATCTATGGGTGTGGATGAGAGGATGGGGCAATCTATGGGTGTGGATGAGAGGATGGGGCAATCTATGGGTGTGGATGAGAGGATGGGACAATCTATGGGTGTGGATGAGAGGATGGGGCAATCTATGGGTGTGGATGAGAGAATGGGGCAATCTATGGGTGTTGATGAGAGGATGGGGCAATCTATGGGTGTGGATGAGAGAATGAAGCAATCTATGGGTGTGGATGAGAGAATGGGGCAATATATGGGTGTGGATGAGAGAATGGGGCAATTTATGGGTGTGGATGAGAGGATGGTGCAATCTATGGGTGTTGATGAGAGAATGGGGCAATCTATGGGTGTGGATGAGAGGATGAGGCAATCTATGGGTGTGGATGAAAGGTCTTTCCAATTCATGTGTGTGGATGAGAGGATGAGGCAATCTATGGAAGTGGACGAGAGGATGGGGCAATCTATGGGTGTCGATGAGAGGATGGGGCAATTAATGAGTGTGGTTGAGAGGACGAGGCAATCTATGGATTTGGACGAGAGGATGGGGCAATCTATGGATGTGGACGAGAGGATTGGGCAATCTATGGGTGTGGATGAGAGGATGAGGCAATCTATGGGTGTGGATGAAAGGTCTTTACAATTCATGTGTGTGGATGAGAGGATGAGGCAATCTATGGGTGTGGACGAGAGGTTGGGGCAATTCATGGGTGTGGATGAGAGGATGAGGCAATCTATGGATTTGGACGAGATGATGGGGCAATTCATGGGTGTGTATGAGGATGAGGCAATTTATGGATGTGGATGAGAGGATGAGGCAATCTATGGAAGTGGAGGAGAGGATGGGGCAATCTATGGGTGTCGATGAGAGGATGGGGCAATTAATGAGTGTGGATGAGAGGACGAGGCAATCTATGGATTTGGACGAGAGGATGGGGCAATCTATGGATGTGGACGAGAAGATTGGGCAATCTATGGGTGTGAATGAGAGAGGCAATCTATGGATGTGGATGAAAGGATGGGGCAATCTATGGGTGTGGATGAGAGGATGGGGCAATTCATGAGTGTGGATGAGAGGATGTGTTAATTTATGGATGTGGACAAGAGGATGAGGCAATCTATGGATGTGGATGAGAGGATGGGGCAATCTATGGGTGTGTATGAGAGGATGGAGCAAATCATGAGTATGGATGAGAGGATGAGGCAATCTATGGATTTGGACGAGAGGATGGGGCAATCTATGGATGTGGACGAGAGGATTGGGCAATCTATGCGTGTGGATGAGAGGATGAGGCAATTCATGAGTGTGGATGAGAGGATGAGGCAATCTATGGATGTGGATGGAAGGATGGAGCAATCTATGGGTTTGGATGAGAGGATGGGGCAATTCATGAGTGTGGATGAGAGGATGTGTTAATTTATGGATGTGGACAAGAGGATGAGGCAATCTATGGATGTGGATTAGAGGATGGGACAATCTATGGGTGTGAATGAGAGGATGGGGCAGTCTATGGATATGGACGAGAGGATGGGGCAATCTATGGGTGTGGATGAGAGGATGGGGCAATCTATGGATGTGGAGGAGAGGATTGGGCAATCTATGCGTGTGGATGAGAAGATGTGTTAATTTATGGATGTGGACAAGAGGATGAGGCAATCTATGGATTTGGACGAGAGGATGGGGCAATCTACGGATGTGGACGAGAGGATTGGGCAATCTATGCGTGTAGATGAGAGGATGGGGCAATTCATGAGTGTGGATGAGAGAATGAGGCAATCTATGGATGTGGATGAAAGGATGGGGCAATCTATGGGTGTGGAAGAGAGGATGGGGCAATTCATGAGTGTGGATGAGAGGATGTGTTAATTTATGGACGTGGACAAGAGTATAAGGCAATCTATGGATGTGGATGAGAGGATGGGGCAATCTATGGGTGTGGATAAGAGGATGGGGCAATCTATGAGTGTGGATGAGAGGATGGGGCAATCTATGGGTGTGGATGAGAGAATGGGGCAATCTATGGGTGTGGATGAGAGGATAGGGCAATCTATGGGTGTGGATGAGAGGATGGGGCAATCTATGGGTGTGGATGAGAGGATGGGTCAATATATGGGTGTGGATGAGTGGATGGGGCAATCTATGGGTGTGGATGAGAGGATGGGGCAATCTATGGGTGTGGATGAGAGGATGGGGCAATCTATGGGTGTGGATGAGAGGATGGGACAATCTATGGGTGTGGATGAGAGGATGGGGCAATCTATGGGTGTGGATGAGAGAATGGGGCAATCTATGGGTGTTGATGAGAGGATGGGGCAATCTATGGGTGTGGATGAGAGGATGGGGCAATCTATGGGTGTGGATGAGAGGATGGGACAATCTATGGGTGTGGATGAGAGGATGGGGCAATCTATGGGTGTGGATGAGAGAATGGGGCAATCTATGGGTGTTGATGAGAGGATGGGGCAATCTATGGGTGTGGATGAGAGAATGGAGCAATCTATGGGTGTGGATGAGAGAATGGGGCAATCTATGGGTATGGATGAGAGAATGGGGCAATTTATGGGTGTGGATGAGAGGATGGTGCAATCTATGGGTGTTGATGAGAGAATGGGGCAATCTATGGGTGTGGATGAGAGGATGGGTCAATCTATGGGTGTGGATGAGAGGATGGGGCAATCTATGGGTGTGGATGAGTGGATGGGGCAATCTATGGGTGTGGATGAGAGAAAGGGGCAATCTATGGGTGTGGATGAGAGGATGGGGCAATCTATGGGTGTGGATGAGAAGATGGGGCAATCTATGGGTGTGGATGAGAGGATGGTGCAATCTATGGGTGTGGATGAGAGGATGGGGCAATCTATGGGTGTGGATGAGAGGATGGGGCAATCTATGGGTGTGGATGAGAGAATGGGGCAATTTATGGGTGTGGATGAGAGGATGGGGCAATCTATGGGTGTTGATGAGAGAATGGGGCAATCTATGGGTGTGGATGAGAGGATGGGTCAATCTATGGGTGTGGATGAGAGGATGGGGCAATCTATGGGTGTGGATGAGTGGATGGGGCAATCTATGGGTGTGGATGAGAGAAAGGGGCAATCTATGGGTGTGGATGAGAGGATGGGGCAATCTATGGGTGTGGATTAGAGGATGGGGCAATCTATGGGTGTGGATGAGAGGATGGGGGAATCTATGGGTGTGGATGAGAGGATGGGGCAATCTATGGGTGTGGATGAGAGGATGGGGCAATCTATGGGTGTGGATGAGAGAATGGGGCAATCTATGGGTGTTGATGAAAGGATGGGGCAATCTATGGGTGTGGATGAGAGGATGGGGCAATCTATGGGTGTGGATGAGAGGATGGGGCAATCTATGGGTGTGGATGAAAGAATGGGGTAATCTATGGGTGTGGATGAGAGAATGGGGTAATCTATGGGTGTGGATGAGAGAATGGGGCAATCTATGGGTGTGGATGAGAGAATGGGGCAATCTATGGGTGTGGATGAGAGAATGGGGCAATCTATGGGTGTTGATGAGAGGATGGGGCAATCTATGGGTATGGATGAGAGAATGGGGCAATCTATGGGTATGGATGAGAGAATGGAGCAATCTATGGGTGTGGATGAGAGAATGGGGCAATCTATGGGTGTGGATGAGAGAATGGGGTAATCTATGGGTGTTGATGAGAGGATGGGGCAATCTATGGGTGTGGATGAGAGAATGGGGCAATCTATGGGTGTGGATGAGAGAATGGGGCAATCTATGGGTGTGGATGAGAGAATGGGGCAATTTATGGGTGGGGATGAGAGAATGGGGCAATCTATGGGTGTGGTTGAGAGTATGGGGCAATCTATGGGTGTGGATGACAGAATGGGGCAATCTATATGTGTTGATGAGAGGATAGGGCAATCTATGGGTGTGGATGAGAGAATGGGGCAATCTATGGGTGTTGATGAGAGGATGGGGCAATCTATGGGTGTGGATGAGAAGATGGGGCAATCTATGGGTGTGGATGAGAGAATGGGGCAATCTATGGGTGTGGATGAGAGAATGGGGCAATCTATGGGTGTTGATGAGAGGATGGGGCAATCTATGGGTGTATTTGAGAGGATGGGGCAATCTATGGGTGTGGATAAGAGAATGGGGCAATCTATGGGTGTGGATGAGAGGATGGGGCAATCTATGGGTGTGGATGAGAGGATGGGGCAATCCATGGGTGTGGATGAGAGGATGGGGCAATCTATGGGTGTGGATGAGAGGATGGGGCAATCTATGGGTGTGGATGAGAGAATGGGGCAATCTATGGGTGTGGATGAGAGAATGGGGCAATCTATGGGTGTGGATGAGAGAATGGGGCCATCTATGGGTGTTGATGAGAGGATGGGGCAATCTATGGGTGTGGATGAGAGGATGGGGCAATCCATGGGTGTGGATGAGAGGATGGGGCAATCTATGGGTGTGGATGAGAGAATGGGGCAATCTATGGGTGTGGATGAGAGGATGGGGCAATCTATGGGTGTGGATGAGAGGATGGGGCAATCTATGGGTGTGGATGAGAGAATGGGGCAATCTATGGGTGTGGATGAGAAAATGGGGAAATCTATGTGTGTTGATGAGAGGATGGGGCAATCTATGGGTGTGGATGAGAGGAAGGGGCAATCTAAGGGGTGTTGATGAGAGGATGGGGCAATTCTTGGGTGTGGACGAGAGGATGGGGCAATTCATGTTTGTGGATGAGAGTATGGGGCAATCTATGGGTGTGGATGAGAGGATGGGGCTATCTATGGGTGTTGATGAGAGGATGGGGCAATTCTTGGGTGTGGACGAGAGGATGGGGCAATTCATGTTTGTTGATGAGAGGATGGGGCAATCTATGGGTGTGGATGAGAGAATGGGGCAATCTATGGGTGTGGATGAGAAGATGGGGCAATCTATGGGTGTTGATGAGAGGATGGGTCAATACATGGGTGTGGATGAGAGGATGGGGGACAATCTATGGGTGTGGATGAGAGGATGGGGCAATCTATGGGTGTGGATGAGAGGATGGGGCAATCTATGGGTGTTGATGAGAGGATGGGGCAATCTATGGGTGTGGATGAGTGGATGGGGCAATCTATGGGTGTGGATGAGAGGATGGGGCAATCTATGGGTGTGGATGAGAGGATGGGACAATCTATGGGTGTGGATGAGAGGATGGGGCAATCTATGGGTGTGGATGAGAGAATGGGGCAATCTATGGGTGTTGATGAGAGGATGGGGCAATCTATGGGTATGGATGAGAGAATGGAGCAATCTATGGGTGTGGATGAGAGAATGGGGCAATCTATGGGTGTGGATGAGAGAATGGGGCAATTTATGGGTGTGGATGAGAGGATGGGGCAATCTATGGGTGTTGATGAGAGAATGGGGCAATCTATGGGTGTTGATGAGAGGATGGGGCAATTCTTGGGTGTGGACGAGAGGATGGGGCAATTCATGTTTGTTGATGAGAGGATGGGGCAATCTATGGGTGTGGATGAGAGAATGGGGCAATCTATGGGTGTGGATGAGAAGATGGGGCAATCTATGGGTGTTGATGAGAGGATGGTTCAATATATGGGTGTGGATGAGTGGATGGGGCAATCTATGGGTGTGGATGAGAGGATGGGGCAATCTATGGGTGTGGATGAGAGGATGGGACAATCTATGGGTGTGGATGAGAGGATGGGGCAATCTATGGGTGTGGATGAGAGAATGGGGCAATCTATGGGTGTTGATGAGAGGATGGGGCTATCTATGGGTGTGGATGAGAGAATGGAGCAATCTATGGGTGTGGATGAGAGAATGGGGCAATCTATGGGTGTGGATGAGAGAATGGGGCAATTTATGGGTGTGGATGAGAGGATGGGGCAATCTATGGGTGTTGATGAGAGAATGGGGCAATCTATGGGTGTGGATGAGAGGATGGGTCAATCTATGGGTGTGGATGAGAGGATGGGGCAATCTATGGGTGTGTATGAGTGGATGGGGCAATCTATGGGTGTGGATGAGAGAAAGGGGCAATCTATGGGTGTGGATGAGAGGATGGGGCAATCTATGGGTGTGAACGAGAGGATGGGGCAATTCATGTTTGTGGATGAGAGTATGGGGCAATCTATGGGTGTGGACGAGAGGATGAGGCTAACTATAGGTGTGGATGAGAGGCTGGGGCAATCTAGGGGTGTGAATGAGAGGATGGGGCAGTCTATGGATATGGACGAGAGGATGGGGCAATTAATGGGTGTGGATGAGAGGATGGGGCAGTCTATGGATATGGACGAGAGGATGGGGCAATCTATGGGTGTGGATGAGAGGATGGGGCAGTCTATGGATATGGACGAGAGGATGGGGCAATCTATGGGTGTGCATGAGAGGATGGGACAATCTATTGGTGTGAATGAGAGGATGGGGCAGTCTATGGATATGGACGAGAGGATGGGGCAATCTATGGGTGTGGATGAGAGGATGGGGCAGTCTATGGATATGGACGAGAGGATGGGGCAATCTATGGGTGTGGATGAGAGGATGGGACAATCTATGGGTGTGAATGAGAGGATGGGGCAGTCTATGGATATAGACGAGAGGATGGGGCAATCTATGGGTGTGGATGAGAGGATGGGACAATCTATGGGTGTGGATGAGAGGATGTGGCAATTTATGGGTGTTGCTGATAGGATGGGGCAATTCATGTTTGTGGATGAGAGGTTGGGGCAATCTATGGGTGTGGATGAGAGGATGAGGCAATCTATGGAAGTGGACGAGAGGATGGGGCAATCTATGGGTGTCGATGAGAGGATGGGGCAATTAATGAGTGTGGATGAAAGGACGAGGCAATCTATGAATTTGGACGAGAGGATGGGGCAATCTATGGATGTGGTCGAGAGGATTGGGCAATCTATGGGTGTGGATGAGAGGATGAGGCAATCTATGGGTGTGGATGAAAGGTCTTTCCAATTCATGTGTGTGGATGAGAGGATGAGGCAATCTATGGGTGTGGACGAGAGGTTGGGGCAATTCATGGGTGTGGATGAGAGGATGAGGCAATCTATGGATTTGGACGAGATGATGGGGCAATTCATGGGTGTGTATGAGGATGAGGCAATTTATGGATGTGGATGAGAGGATGAGGCAATCTATGGAAGTGGACGAGAGGATGGGGCAATCTATGGGTGTGGATGAGAGGATGGGGCAATTAATGAGTGTGGATGAGAGGACGAGGCAATCTATGGATTTGGACGAGAGGATGGGGCAATCTATGGATGTTAACGAGAAGATTGGGCAATCTATGGGTGTGGATGAGAGAGGCAATCTATGGATGTGGATGAAAGGATGGGGCAATCTATGGGTGTGGATGAGAAGATGGGGCAATTCATGAGTGTGGATGAGAGGATGTGTTAATTTATGGATGTGGACAAGAGGATGAGGCAATCTATGGATGTGGATGAGAGGATGGGGCAATCTATGGGTGTGTATGAGAGGATGGAGCAAATCATGAGTATGGATGGAAAGAGGATGAGGCAATCTATGGATTTGGACGAGAGGATGGGGCAATTTATGGATGTGTACGAGAGGATTGGGCAATCTATGGGTGTGGATGAGAGGATGGGGCAATCCATGGGTGTGGATGAAAGGATGGGGCAATCTATGGGTGTGGATGAGAGGATGGGGCAATCTATGGGTGTGGATGAGAGAATGGGGCAATCTATGGGTGTGGATGAGAGGATGGGGCAATCTATGGGTGTGGACGAGAGAATGGGGCAATCTATGGATGTGGACGAGAGGATGGGGCAATCTATGGGTGTGGATGAGAGGATGGGGCAAATCATGAGTATGGATGAGAGGATGAGTCAATCTATGGATGTGGACAAGAGGATGGGGCAATCTATGGGTGTGTAGGAGAGGATTGGCAAATCTATGAGTGTGGATGAGAGGATGTGTTAATTTATGGATGTGGACAAGAGGATGAGGCAATCTATGGATTTGGACGAGAGGATGGGGCAATCTATGGATGTGTACGAGAGGATTGGGCAATCTATGCGTGTGGATGAGAGGATGGGGCAATTCATGAGTGTGGATGAGAGGATGAGGCAATCTATGGATGTGGATGAAAGGATGGGGCAATCTATGGGTGTGGATGAGAGGATGGGGCAATTCATGAGTGTGGATGAGAGGATGTGTTAATTTATGGACGTGGACAAGAGGATGAGGCAATCTATGGATGTGGATGAGAGGATGGGGCAATCTATGTGGGTGTGGATGAGAGGATTAGGCAATCTATGGATTTGGACGAGAGGATGGGGCAATCTATGGATGTGGACGAGAGGATTGGGCAATCTATGCGTGTGGATGAGAGGATGGGGCAATTCATGAGTGTGGATGAGAGAGGATGAGGCAATCTGTGGATGTGGACGAAAGGATGGGGCAATCTATGGGTGTGGATGAGAGGATGGGGCAATTCATGAGTGCGGATGAGAGGATGTGTTAATTTATGGATGTGGACAAGAGGATGAGGCAATCTATGGATGTGGACGAGAGGATGGGGCAATCCATGGGTGTGTATGAGAGGATGGAGCAATTCATGAGTATGGATTAATTTATGATGTGAAGAGGATGAGGCAATCTATGGATATGGACAAGACATCCTCTTGCAATCTATGGATGTGGCATATGTTTAGCAGTGCACTTTTGACAGGCTGTAATGAATGTAATAATGAAATATTTTTTATTTATTATAACCGTTGCTTGACTACAATCCCACCTGTGGTGATGAAGCTAATTTAGATGGTAAATGTAAATTTTTAAATGTTACCAACTATATTTTTTTATACTCAAGTCATTATGTGAAGGCATTATAGATTCATTTAATTATCAGCAGTATAATGCAAATTCTTTGCTTAGCTTCAAATCATACAACCTGTTTTTGGGTCTTAGACCAACTGCACTCCACAGTTGAATAATGGGACCATAGCCCTGTATTAAATTTAATATTATAAAATTATATATTTAATTATAAAAATCCATAGTACGTTATAAGAACCTTTGTGCATTAAGTACAATAGAATCTCGATTACTCGAACCTGGTTAAGTTATAGTCCTCAATAATTCGAAAAAAATGCTATTCTCTTCTGCTGAACCCCTAAATATGTGGTATCTCGAATTATTTAGACTTTGTAACTCAAACAAAATCAAATTTCAAAAAGCATGCTATGTAAGTTGTAGTTAGTGACATATAATGAAGTCTTATTTGGAATATTCTCCGAACTCATAGCAATATAATCCAAAAGGATTGTTCAGTGCTTCTAATCTGTTGTTTGATGTTTGTTCCTTGTACACATGCAATGAATGAATCTATTCATTAAACTACTAACTAGCACAACTTACCCTATCATACGTTATGTCTGTTCATTGTTATTCAATACTTATACTGGCAACAAAATGACTACTAAAAGGAAGCTTACGACTTCAGGTGAAAAATTCTACATTATCAATGCGGTAAAAAGTGGCATGAAGAAAAAAGACATTGCAGATCACATGGATTACCAGCAAGGACTATGTCTAAAATAATTAAGAATGAATCTGAAACATTGTTAAGATATGAATCAAGTAGCAATTAGTCTTGCAAAACACAACAACTAGCCAAGTTTCCTGCACCTTGTTCACTGTCGTAAAAAAACATAAGTAAAAGAGGGCCTATCTTACATGAAAAAGTCGTAATTTGTTTCAATAAATTAGTACCATAAAACTTAAGACAAATTTTTATTTAACTTTTGTCTTTGCAACTCGAAAAATATACTTAAAAGTCATGACTTTCTAAGTCGAAATTTTAGCAATTAAATCTTTTGTAAAATACAAAGGATTTAATTACTAAAATTTCGACTTCTTTTTAAGTCGAAAACTCATTAACTCAATTTTTTTTATGTTCCTCCTGACATTTGAGTTATCGAGATTCTACTGTATTAACAACACATGTATTTAAGTAAGGTAAAAATGTTGATCTAAAAGTTAAAACAAAGCTGAAAAATACCTCAAAATTATCGAGCAAAACAATTGCTGGTGCTGCGGCCTTAGCTTTTTGTATCGTTAAGCTAATTTTACTTTCAGTCTGTTTTGCAGTGGAACTCTGTAGGGCATTACAGTCAGTTTGGAAACAATTTACTCCTGGAAATTTAAACATATACAATGCATATATTAAATAAAAATATTATTATTTTTTAAATGTAAATATTCTTATGTTCATAATCTACTAACCATTATATTTTGCTACTGTTTTAACAATCATGTGTCTACCAGAACCCAATGATCCAGTCATCAGAAACATGGGAGTAATAGGACTGGACAAAGATGATGATAGCTCATCTGTAATTGATTATTGTTCTGTGAGTTTATGCGACAGACAAAATAAAATGGAATAATTTAAATTGCTATTTACTTATTTCTCCAGTCAAAAATGGGCTTATTGCCTCTTGTAATTGCTCAAATTTACTTTGCAACCCAGTTGGACATATATGTAAATACTGGCAACACAATTTCTGTGGTCTAAAATATTTACTTTTTGGTTTCATGGAATGTATATTCTCGCCTAAAGTTAACTGAGTAACACCTTTAACAATATAAAAAGCTTTTATCACATTGGTCACAGACTTTGAAGACTGATTAGAAGACACTGAGTCCAAATCACCACAAATTTTGTTACATTTGAAATGCAGTATTCCCAATGATTCAACTAAATCAATATATTTATAATGGTACTTAGTGGTTATTTGAGGATTCAAATGTATAGCAATTATATCATTTTCACTAACTAACTTTGGTACTTCAAAATGGTTGCCAAGAACCTCCTTAATAAAATCATTTGATAGATCAAAATCATTTACAATTAAGCTCACTTCAGCTGCTGCTGCTATTTTCGGAGAGTATTCAAAAGCAGGGACAGGATGGAATGAAATTTCTATATTATCAACATTGCTTATGCCAATAGATGAGATAATATTATAAAATTCATTCTCACACACTAATGCAATATTGTTATGTATTCGTGAAGTTCCAACAACAGGAACTATTCTTGTATTAGCATAATTAACTGTGGTACAGTCTTTCCATAATTTTTTATGTATTTCTGATGTCTTCATAGCAAGATTATACTTATAAAGAGTTTCAGAGTTTTCATCAACATTCTTATCTTCATGATTCTTTTTTTCTTCTGGAGTGAGTTTTAATGCCAGCCACAAAATTTCATTATCTCTATAAAATAAATTTTCAACACTAAGTTGTATAAAATTAGCTTGTGAGATAAAAATACATTTGTGTTGATTAACACATAAATTGTTATTTTTGGACTGCTCTTTTGAAAGTAACTGCTGAATGTACGAAGGTATTGTTTTTACTAAAAATTTATTCATTCTTCCCGTAGTTCCAATGCGTTTCAAGAAGTAATAATTGGATTTAATTATCAAGTAAACAAGGAATATGTATGGGTTGAACTTTGGATAAATTACTTTTATGCAAAATTTTATCACCCATAATTTAAAAGTAATCTGCTCTTTCATAATATTCAATGTATAAATAGTATGTTTCTTATTTCAAGTTTAGTCTCAATTTAAGGTTTTTATCATAAATTGGTGCGTTTGGACTTTGGAATTTGATTTTGAATTTTTATAATATTTGTATTTGATTTCCTGATTAGATTTGACATTGACATCGATTGATAGTTGTTCTTTTTTTTAATTAACTGGCTTTAGGGCTCTGGGTTCTAGCCCTTCTGAGCCTATCATTTCTTTCAGAATCTTCATTTTTTATTCTTTTTTTTTTCAAGATACGCTGATGCGTCACATTGCGTAGCCCTTGGGAGATTTTGACGACAGCTCAACCTAACAGACAGTTGATGATGACAGCCACTCAAGTCAATAAGGCGCCCAAGCGATCAAAATAACTTGAGGTTTATATCGACATCAAAGCACTTGTGTTGTCGTTTTCTCTAATAGTTCACACACGCGTACACTTAATTAACAAAATTGCATCACTTTTACGAATCAACATCCACTTCAAACCATTATTCAAGCGACAAAACAGGAGCGACAATCCGTCTACGGCCAAGCTCCCGCCAAAACTCGATAGTTGTTCTCTAACGTAGACAGCATGGAGTTTATAGAACAGAAGAACAATCGCTGAAAAGAAGAAAATAGTGTCCCAGAAGTATGGACAAAATAAGTGAAGCGCTAAATTATCTAAATAAAAGCGAGCTGTTGTGCGATAGTTTGAAACGATATAATATCATTCAAAGAAAAAAAAAAAGAAAATAACGTAATCATTATTATTTTTTAAGAAATAAATTATAAATTATTTCTTTTTATGATTTTAATTATTACAAATATTATAGATTTACTGGTATTTTTTAACAATATTTCACCATTTTTTAATGTTTTTTTTTGTCAATAATTAAAAAATTACTTCGCAGAAACTAGGTAGTTACCGACGCGACGGCAGCGCGGGCGCGGCTATACATTCTACAAATTTCAGGGACAGGCGGATTATGCTTTAGCACATAGCAATCGTTCTCCTGCTCTCATTTTTTAATTTTTTTACTAAGATTTTTGGCTTGAATGCTTGTCTTTAAAGCTGTCTTCATTTTATTCGGGATCTTCGTTTTTATAGATTTTTTTGTATCAAGTGATAATAATCATTTATAGTAGGCATATTTCTTCACAATATGTTGATGTGTTAGATTGCGTAGTTTTTGGGAGATTATGACCGCAACTTCAGTCAGCAGACAGTTAACGATATTATCTTAAGGCGCTTATCCAGACAGACACGTTATTTTGAGAACCACATCACCATTGAAGCACTTGTTTTCACCGTCTCCATTAACAGTTCATACGTGCGGATATTTAATAAACGAAATCGCATCTCTTTTACATAATATCAAAATCAACTTTAAACCATTATTTAAACAATAATAGAGAAGTAGCAATCTGCCGCTGGTCAAGTTCCCACCAAAACTCAAGGAATAGATGAGAAGCGTCTTGATGATAAAGATTTAAAGTTGTGCTAACGTATAAAATACGCGTATAATCAACTTTGTTATGTCTTCATTTTTTATGAGCACTTCACCTTAGAGAGCACTCACAGGAGCACTGGATAGAACTATAACCAATTGTTTATAATCTATAGGAATATAAGAATTTATTTACTTATTATTCAAACATATATATATATATATATATATATATATATATATATATATATATATATATATATATATATATATATAGATATATATATATATATATAGTACCCGGAGACCGAGCTTTGCTCGTTTTTTTTTTTGAAATTTCATTTAGATACAAATTACATACTGACGAAACATGAATAATATTTTTTGATCTTATTGAAATAATATAAAAGACTGAACTGGTTATTTGAATAAAATATTATGAGTGCAGTTAGTTTAATTAAAAGTTTCGTAATTTTAAAAAATGCTAAAAAAAGGTAGGTTACGATTTCGCGACCGCTCAATACCCACTTGAGCTATTACGACCATTAACACAGTGTCAAAATTTACCTTCTTATATTGTAGCAGTTTTTCATTGCCTGAAAACACGGACAAAAAGACATTTTATATATATATATATATATATATATATATATATATATATATATAGATAATGAATATAACATAACATAACATAACATAAACACTCACGCCTGTCACCCAGAGGGGTAGTTTATCGATTAAGGGTACTTCTAACGTGGCCCATTTTCAAAATATCACCAATTTGGTCGATAAACATTTTCCTAGGGCGTCCCTTCCCGACTCGGCCGTTCACATCTGCCATATAAATTTGCTTTGTCACTCTTTCCTCATTCATTTCTACATGACCAAACCACCGAAACATTCCTTGCTTAATCCTGGTCACAACATCATCTTGCATACCACATTTATCTCTTATCACGCAATTTCTCACCCTGTCATTCAGATTCAACCCTAGCATATTCCTTAAAGACCGCATTTCTACAGCATTTATTCTACTTTCGTGCTTCTTCTGCCACACCCAGCTTTCACTACCATACATTAAAGTAGGGACTAACACAGCATTATGAATTACCATATGTGCCTTTTTTGACACATTCTGGTTCTTCATAATAGAGTGTAGTGCCCCATTCACTCTATTCCCTGCATTTACTCGTCGTTCTATATCCCTGTCATATCTACCATCCCTGCTAAATACACATCCCAAATACACAAACTCATCCACTTGCTCAATTAACTCTCCTTCTATTCTTATTTCACATACCGTTTTGTTTTCTTCTCTTTCAAAAACCATCACTTTCGTCTTACTTGCGTTCACTTTCATTCCCCTTTCTTTTAATTCCCAGTTCATTAATGTAACCATCATTTGCAACTCAGCCGCCGACGACGCAAATACGACTTGATCATCGGCATACAAAAGGCATTTGACGGTTAACTCGCCCATTCTTAACCCACATTCTTCATCTTTCAAAGTTTGCAAACACCTGCCCATAAATAGGTTGAACACCCAAGGGGAAGCTACACAGCCCTGTCTGACACCTTTTTGGATGCCAAACCAGTCCGAGTAGACCCCATTGATCCTGACACAAGCACTAGAGTCCCTATAAAGAGACCTCAATGCCTGTATCAAACCAGCGCTCAACCCATATGAGTTCAGTGTTTACTATAACTGCTTTACACCAGTCATCCGGTACCCGTTTTAATTCCCAACATAAATTAAACAAGGTGTACAGCAGGCCTGCCACCACTCCCTCTCCAGCCCTTAGCATCTCGAGTGATACTCTACCATATCCAGCTGCCTTACCTGCTTTCATGCTTTTCATTGCTTTCATTATTTTATCTACACTTATCTCCATACCCCTTTCCACTTCTTTCGGAATTTCTAGTTCATTTAATTCAGACGACTCTTCACTCATAAACACGCTTTCAAAGTATTCCTTCCATCTGTTAAAATTCGAAACTTCATCATTCAGAATACATTCATTCTTGTTTCTTATAGCATTAATTATAGGCTGTTTTGTATTTCCCCTGGCAGTTCTTACGAGTTTCCAGAACATTTTTATGTTAGCCTGGAAATTATCAGATATCCTTCTATCATTCTTATCCGTTCTTTCTTTCTTTTTCCTTTCAACAACTTCTTTTACTCTCTTATTTAGACGTCTAAATTCTGCCTTTTTTCTTTCAATCTCATCATTCATACCAGAAGAATTACCAGTTTTGGTTGCTAGTAAATCTAACCATGCTTTCTTCTTTGATTCAACTTCCACCCGTACCTCATCATCCCACCACAACGTATTACTTTTCCTTTCATTTGTTCTCTTACTTACACCACATACTTCGGTGGCGGCATCCACCAAATCTTTCTTAATATTATCCCACACAGTATTCAAGTCTAAATCATTCATACACAACTCTAATATTTTCTCTCAGTCTACATTTATACTTCTCTTTCACATCTTCATCTTGTAACTTCTCTATTCTTATACGTTGTAACGCAGTGGTAGAGACAGATGTCCGATGCTGCCAACGCTTGAAAAGACTATTAATTCGACATAAGACCATATAATGATCCGTCCCTACGTTGGACCCCCGGTAAACCCTTGTATCTACGACTGCGCTCCTCATTCTTTCATCCAAAATTACGAAATCTATCATGCTTCTATCATCACCTCTTTCCCATGTATACATGTGAATCTTCTTATGACGAGAAAAAGTATTCGTCACAAAAAGATTCTTTTCCACACATACGGTGAGGAGGTCTTCACCATTCTCGTTTATACTTTCATCACCAAACGTTCTCAATATCACCAGATCTCTTCACCCCAACCCTTCCATTAAAGTCTCCTAACATAATAATATTTTCATTTTCCTTACATTTTGTCAACACCATCCTTACCATGTCCCAAAACTGCTCTCGGATGTAAGTGGGCTTAGACATGTCTGGGGCGTACACCCCTAGCAGGAACAGCTTCTTTAAGCCCACTTTCATTCGTATTCATATATATATATATATATATATATATATATATATATATATATATATATATATATATATATATATATATATATGTACACAAGAATTGCTCGTTTAAAGGTATAGGATAATACTTATTTACATAATAATAAAAAACTAAAAACTTAAATAATCTACACTCCTACCTTCCTGCGGTTTCAGGAACGCTCGCTGCGATTTGTCGCTGAATGGTATGATATGTTTGAAATATCGAAATAACTGTCTTATAAAGAACTCAGGATGTTATTTGCATGTCTTACGGTAACGTATAACCATTTAAAAAAAATCTGACTGTCTGTCTGGGCTAATCTTCGGAAAGCTTGAACCGATTGTAATGGAACTTCACGAACGGCTAGAGAGCAATAGTGGAGTGATCTAGGCCACATTTTATATTCGAAAAACTTAGAGATTTATTTTAAATAATAACAAATTGATAAAACAAATCGTCTTTGATGTACATCTTAAAACATTTAAGTGATTAAATAAATATAACATCCAGACAAAGCCAGGGTTGCTAGTATATAATCTAAATATATAAATAAAACTGAAGTGTCTGTAATATTAAAATAACTGGCTTCTATTGAACTTAAAGGGTTATTTGCATGCTATTAAGACATAACATTTTTTTTAATTTCGTTTGACTGTCTGTCGGGCCAAACTTCGGAATGACTGAATCGATTGTGATGATACTTTACCAACAGATAGAAAGCACCGCAAGGAGTAAATGTAGTTTACATTTTATCCGGAAAATTTAGAGAGTTTTTTTGACGAAACAAAAGACTGATAAAATAAATTGTCTTTAATTATCTTAAGCCTAACGCCACATAAATAGATCCAGCCAGACGGAGCTGGATGCTCTCTAGTTAACAATAAAGTAATCTCTACATTTAGGGATATCATTCAAAGAGCTTGTACCTAATGAGCAAACGAAATGTATGGAGTAATTTATGTCAGTTTGCGTACTTTTAAAAGGAAACAAAAATATAAGAATAGTTTGACAATAAAGCAATAAATAGTAGAAGAAATTGTCACTTAATTCGTAATAACTTTAAGACACAGACAGAAGTTCTACAAGACATAAATACAAACTATATATAATACAATAATAATAATAAAAAACATATTGAACTCATGTATTTAACGTGGGCTTCTTTTAACAATGTAAGAATGCTTTTAATGGCTTGTATGCCAATCGTTATATTTTACTTAATATGGTTAGTGAATACGTCAGAAGTGATACGAAGTGAAGAAGGCACTCTTTTAGATTTAATATGCTGGCCAGACGGTAACGCAATACCTGTTATTATTGCCTGTGGTTCCATTGTTGCTGTAGTGATTGAGGTATGTAATCATGTTCAAAAATGAAAATGCCATCAAAAACATAACTTGTAAAAAGAACTAAGTGTCGCAACTCAGTTTTTATACCGTAAAAAGTTATGATATCCATTTAATACCAAGTCGGTTAATTTATTCAGTTCCTACTTAATGGTCCTTCAGGTTTAAGTTATTACGTAATTAGCTAACCTAACAACATCTTATAGTGACTATATCAATGTTAAAAATCTTTTATGTTTTAAATAATGTATATCCTAATATATATAAATTACGTGTCACTTTGTTTGTTCGCGATAGACCCCTAAACTACTTAACCGATTTTAATCAAATTTGCACACTGTGTGCAGTTTGGTCCAACTTGAGAGATAGGATAGTTTTCTTGCCCACAATTTTTTTTTGCGAATTTAATGATTTTTAATAGGACATGACAAAGGGTCGTCGAAAATGGCAGAACAACGTCCGCCTGGCAAGCTAGTATATATATATATATATATATATATATATATATATATATATAAACTTGGTCATCGCATGAAAACACAATGTATCTCACAAGTAATTAGATATCTAGATCTTAGATTCTGCTTTTTAAGTAAAGGTGGATTTTTTTTAAATAAAATTGAAGTAACAAGAGTACTAATAGTTCACCTAATGGTAAGTGGTATTGCAGCCCATGGATACGGGGACACCTGCAAACAACTTTAAGCAGGGAAAGTTACAGATTTGTTGCCATAACTGAGAACTGGGATGGAATGCCTTCATAGCCCATAATTGTACTGGCTCTTGAGACTCTTTAAATCGGAATACAGCAGTGCACGCCACTGCGTGCCGCTTTGATGTTATCTCATCATGTTTTTAACATGAAGGTTTTATTTAATTAATATTAGGGGCTATAATATGTAATTGTAGTTTTACATTAAAAATACGCAGTATTATAATAAGTCCATTATTAAAAATGTAAATACCTTTTTTGCTTAGAATAAATATGTTTATTTAATCGATGTATCCCTCATTGATCTCCTGCTAGGTTGAGAATTAGCAGATTATTTAAAGGTTTTATGATAGAACTGACGTAAAGATCTAAGGAAAATCATTTATGCCTTCACGATAGAACTCTGGAGATCTGGACTCTATAGTCTATAAAGGCATTTTGTAGGTACTTATCGCTTCTTGAGAAACAAATGTTTTCCTTGTATAAAATTGTCCATATTGCGGAAAATTTTAAATCTGCAGGTCGTATAATGTTAAAACTGTTTGTCGACTACTGTAAGGTTTTGTATAATCATGGAATAATAATGGCAAACATCGATTGACGACTCGGGGTTGTTTCTCTGAGAGTTTCGCCATCATTGTTCGAAGTTCTTCACAATAGACATTATTTCAATAATTCGAAAAACTATGGTGAATTACACAGTGTTGTGACTATCAAATAGTTACTATTACTTTCCTATAATTTTGATTAAGGTCATTGTTCCAGTAAGTATTTGACTTGAAGTCAGCTATTGCATTTTTCGTTTGCGATATTCGTTGAATATAAAACGTCATGATTCTGTCTGAAATCTTTTTATTTCCAAGCCTGCTCCTCAAAACAAAACCAGGGTGCTCCTTTATGCACATCAGATAATTCATGGGGCATCCATTTCTCAATTTTTTTATTTTACTAACCTGATGCAGATGAATTAATAACACATAATGTTAATTTAATATTATCGGTAAACTAATATCAAACCGTCACGCAAATTCTTTGTTTCTTTTATGGAGTATCTCTACACTCCAGAGTTTCTTTGATAAGGATTGGCAACCATTACTTTTACCATTAATTCCGCGTTATAAAGCTTAGTGTGCTCTTTCCCTTAGTAAATTTTTCAAGTATAAATTTCCGCGACGAAAGCGATTAAACTAAAAAACACATAAGTAGTACGTTAGTTAGTCTTTATTGCCGCTTTTGTGCTTCAAGCCCGAACACAGCAGTTGATGCACTGTTTCTTGGTAGCAGATTTCTGTAATAGTGGTGTATCACTCAGATGGATTCCAAGAATGAGCTGTAGTTCAGCTGTTTTATTATGATTACAAGAATTTATTGAGTCTGACTTACCCTGCAGGTTGAATAGACTCTAACGAAAATCTGGGGCCGCCTTATCCTATTATTCGTGACGAATATGATATAATATTTCGACAAATCTGGAGAGGTGTCTCGGCCTTGTCTGGACTGATTTTTTTTCATGAATTAAAATGTGTATTAACATTTTTAAGAGCGTTTATGAGCCGTTATAAGTTCTGAAATTGGCCCAGAGTATACAGTATATTAAAATTTAAATATTGAAAGGAAATACTGAAAGAACTGATTACATTCTATTTATTGTTTATGATGCATTATTTCTTCCAGCTTTACGGTCTATATCAGTTATTTAAAGCGGGTCTACCAAAAAGAGAATACAATGTTACCAACGGCCTGTTTTACTACATTTGGGCATTGATTATCATGATAATTATTTTCCTTGCAATTATGTTTTATTCGGGATTGCAATCGACAATAATTCGAGGTAATTATTATATGCATGGTATGTATATTTCGTTTTTGCAGTTATATGCAAGAGACTATTTGCTAATAGGCAGTTAAATAAAATATGTCAAATTAGTACCCTTAACCGACGAGCATGTATGCGTAGGTATATGAATGTATACACGGTGAGAGAGCGTCTTTAGAACAGCAGCTGTAAGGAACGTTGTCCGCGACGAACTTACTATTTGATCTGTAAATAGAAATATATAATGTTTTTATTTTTTTGAGAATTGGCTAGATACAATTTTGGAGCCGTGGTAGCTCAGTGGTTAACGCTCGCTGTAAATATAACAGAACGCGAGTAACCCGGGTTCGATCCCCGCCGGCACCAATGAAATTGTTAATTGCAATTTTAAGTGCTGATTTACCACGTGCTCGGCGGTGAAGGAAAACATCGTGAGGAAACCTGCATGTCTGAGGAATAAGAAAAAAAAAATATTTTCGAAGACATGTGAAGTTCATCAACACGCATATGGGCAGCGCGGCGGACACTTCCTTGCCCTAAACCCTCTCAGAAATGAGGGGAGGCCTGAGCCCAGCAGTGGGACGTATATAGGCTGTAACTTATGAATGTAGAAGAGGCGAGAGAGGTGTGTCAGGATCGTGCCAAATGGAAGGCTGTGGTCTCTGCCTACCCATCTGGGTGACAGGCGTGAGTGCTTATGTTATGTAGTACTCGTATGTCGATGTCTTTACACAGATACTCACACAAGACCCACGGTGACAAGGCCACAGTGCAGCAACGTTTACTCTGCATGTTTCATTGATTACAGCCTATCAAAAGACTAACGCTGAACATAAGACTTTCCCATAGATTGCCTCAAAGGGTGATCTTTGCCTTAATTGCCTCGCTTGGTAGGAGGATGGACACAGCAGTAATTTTTTATTTTCATTTGTTATCAGAAAGATGCTGCTGCCTATTTCCTGTTGTAGATTCCCCTGTGACGCCTTTTATGACACCACCGTTGTTGGCGACGCGCCTATAAAAATGTTTCAGTTTATTAAATCAACCGATGACGTTGCTATGAAAAAAGGGGTAGTCACGAGCAACGACGCTCTGATAAGAGAATGCTTAGTTAAATCTTTAAGAAATGTCGAATTAATGATATGAAGGTCTTGGGTTCGACTCCCAGGCCGGACTAGTTTGTTTGTTTTCCTAAGTAATATCGCTTAATAAATTCGTAAGGAATTTAAGATATAAATTATGTTACCGGATTTGTTCCCCGGTCGAGATAATCACTCTGTGCATAGGCAGAATTAATGGATATTAATTGCATAAATGTTGTTTTGTATAAGTTTGATACGTTTTGTACGAAAACAAATGCCTATTTGTTATGATTGATTAATGAGAACATTCATTTATATTGTTATCTGATTAAAGATAGTTTCATACAGTTCGAAAATTGTATAAAAGCATTTAATTTGCCTAATATGGTCAAAATTGGTGTATTTCATAATTTAATTTTTTCTGATAGCCGAGAGCCGTGCAAAGTTAGTTGTTCACATAGCGTGAGTACACGGAAGCACGCTGGCCACGCCCTTAGGAGGCCGAATATGTAAAAAATTTAAAATGTTTGTAATTCAGTGATTTATGTAAAAATTACTTGTAAAATATTTCAGGTTAATTGTACGTGCTAAAAAGGTGAATTCTGTGTTATTTTCATGTGAAAATTCCTGTGTATAAGTGAAATAATGATAGTTTTGTATAAGAAATTTAAAAGTGTTTTAAATAGTGAAATAAATAGAAAATGTAAATTAAACTATTGTATTGGTTAGCTTATGTATAAATTCAAGTGAGAAACATTGTTTTAACTTTCTGTGTTAAATATTTAAGAAATTTCGATTTCGAACTTGTGAGTAAAATAGGCAGTTTTCGTTTAATAAATAAAAGGTTTTTTATGATATGAAGATATGATGTATATCATGGTGTAGATATTGTTTTGTACTACCTATATTGATAAATTGTATTTGTATATGATTTGAATAAATAAAGATATTGAGTAAAACGTGAGAGAGTAATAGAACAAATTCATGTAATTGAGTTGCGCAAGCGCGCGAATGGCGCGGCTCACTTTCGCGTATAGCTCTGGGGTAGCTTAGTGAACGGGTTTTATTGCAATTCGTTCGGGAATCGTTCGGGAATCCTTCGAGATAGTTCGGGAATCCTTCGGGGGAAGTTCGGAAATAGTTCGGAAATAAATAAGAAAATCCGAGAAAAAGTTCAAGAAAAGTGAAAAACCAGCAGTATAGGGAAAAGTGATTACTCTCTCACGGAACGGTTTGAAGATAATTGCTGTTTCATTCCCAAGATCCTTTAAGTTATACAGTCCACATCGAAGAATTAAGGCGTCGGGACCGGGACGACTTCGGAAGACCCGTAATCCCCGTCTGAACCTACTTGCTGAAAAGGAAGAGGTTATCGCCCTAGTGTGTTACTCCGTTGCGGAGATCACATACGTTGTTCCCGAACCCAACGTAGGCGTGATAGGAGGCCGGATCGAGAGAAGCCTCGATTCCTGTTTCTTAGTACCCGATCCGCTAGGTCCTTTTCAATTGGTCCTTTTCAGGATCAAGAGGGACGCCCGAACCTGTGTTCCTTTTCAATTGGTCCTTCGAGCCGGATTGAAGACCACCCGAACCCCGCCAGCTGGATCAAGGAACCAGCTGTGGACTGCTGGTTGTGGAAGAAGAAGACCTTCGGAAGCCGAGTGAAGATCAGCAACCGAAGGAAGCCAGAGGTTTGAGCTGAAGCAATAGGACCAAAGGCCTGAAGACCAGGACGGCAGCACTGAAGGGCTGGACCTGGAACTACCGGAAGAAAGAAAACCGGGATTGCAGCTTGGGGCGTGTGCTCGCATGGGGCACATATCGCAGCCGGGCGCCGGTGTCTTGTGAAGGCACTCATCGTGGCCAAGCAGGGCTTGGCATTTTTCCTGTCGGGCAAGCGTGCTCGGCATTTCCTGTCAGACGATCGTGTCTGGCATTTCCTGTCGGACGACCGTGTCCGGCATTTCCCGTCGGGTCATCAGGGTGCAAAGGCATCCACCGCTGCTGCTGCCGGGCGAGGGTGCGCGTGGGCACCTGACTGCATCGCGGCCGGAGGAGGGCGCTTGGACGAGGCGTCACCGGCAACTGGGCGGCGAGCACAGCATACATCCCGACCACCTAACGGTGCCAAACGGTTGGGCTCTGGCATAACACCTTCGGGTGGAGCAGTTCTCTCGAGCGAGACTGCGCTTGCACTACCGCTCGACTGTTTCGTCATATTCCTTGGCGGGACAGTTCCTAAACATTTCCTCCATTCCATTCCTGCACGACTCCATCCCTGGACGGCTCACCTCGGTAGGCCCCGTTCAGGATTGATAGGGCTGATAGGGCTGTTAGGGTGGTAGTAGGGTTGTAGGGTTGGGAGATAAAGGGGGGAGGGGGTAGTGGTGTTAGGTTGGGGTGTAGAAGGGTTGTAGGTAAGGGGTTGTAGGGACCGTAGGGACTGTAGGGACAGTTAGGGACCGTAGGCCAACAATCACCTTCCTGCAAGATGAAGAAGGCACAAGACCAGACAGGGAGAAGCGAAGGGAGCAGGACAAGGACAGGGCTCTCAAGAAAAGCTAAAGAAGCGGAATCATCTGGAGCGACCACAGCTACTGCGTCAAATGGAGTAACTCCTTCAAGTGGAGCCACCACAGACACGTCCACATGCACGTGGGACTCAGGGACGTCCATGGCAACGACGAGCAACAGGACGGACACCAGTGGTACACAGGCCAGCACCGCACAACAATCCGTTATATCCAGGAGTGAAACGGTGGTCGAAAAAGTAGGTCAAAGGACCGAAGAAGCGGCATCGTCAAGGACAGTAATCGGGCACACTAGTGATAAAGGGTCACAGAGAGGTAGTAGGTCATCGCGATCGGCGAGGCTGAAAGCCGAATTAGAGGCGCGGATTAAATTCGAACGCTCAGAGCTCGAACGAGCACAGGCAGCTGCTGCCTTAGCCAAGTCTCAATGGGAGTTGGCACGACTCAACCGAGAAGAGGAGATCGACTCGAGTGAGGATGGTGAAGAGCGGAATACTCAGGTGGAACCTTTCGTAAGGAGTTGGGTTCAGCAAACCATAATGAGCGCGCCGGTTAGTGTAGCACAACCCGATATTACTGATAAGGAAGCGTGTAAAGGATCACGCCGCAAAGGGGCGGACGTCGAGCGCAACCTAGGAAATGCACAGAAAACACACGCGAGTGAGGTGTCAGAATTGACCGAAGCGATTGTGAGTGCAATAAAAATAGCTGGTAAAGATAAATCTTCCCAGCTTCATTTCCTCCAGGAATTACCGGTGTTCGATGGAGACCCGGGTGAATGGATAATTTTCAAAACGGTGTTTGAAGACACAAAAGGCCAATTTTCAGGGGTGCAAAATGTCGCACGCCTTAGGAGGGCATTAAAGGGCACCGCTAAAGAGGCGGTTAAGTCGCTGTTATTTACTTTATGTGAACCTGAAGAAATAATGAACGCTCTCGAAAGAAGATTCGGTAGGGTTGAGATGCTCATTCTAGCCGAAATCGAGAATGTAAAGCGTATGCCAAGATTGGCAGAAGATTGCCGGAATATAGGATCTTTTGCAAGTCGTATTACGAACGTGGTTGCCACAATACAAGCGTTGAATCAACCACAGTATTTATACTCACCGGAGTTAGTGAGCCGCATAGTGGAGAAACTTGGAACTATGATTAAATTTAAATGGTTTGAATATCGAGCTCAATATCCTTTGGAGCCAGAGTTACAGAAGATGGCCAAGTTTTTAAATTTATTGAGTGAACAATTTGGAACGTCCTTAAGCAATGAAAATGCGCCTGAGAAAAGGAAGCGTCCTGAATTCAGGAAGCAAACTGTACACACTGCAAAGGGAGGTGTACGCAGCTGTGCCGAGAGCGAGCGCTATATGCGCCGAAGTAATATGAGCGAGCGTTTAGAACGCCGAAA